AGTAACGGGTCAGGAATACCAACTGCTCGTAGCTTATTGGAGGTGATATTATGAGACACCGTATCAAATGCCCTCGGCATATTGAAGTATAGAACAATGACGATTTTACGCGCCTTGTGGTTGCTAGTGGTGAAGTTGAAGAAGTCAAAGTGGCAAGTAACACAGGACCTATTCTTTATGAGACCATGCTGAGACTTTGTGATTCCGTTTTCTGTCACCAGGTAATCAGAGACGCTGCTGTTAATTGTTGTCCATTGTTCTAGAAAGGACCGGTGTTATGTTGAGGGATCTGTAACTATTGACGTTCGATTTGTCTCCGGACTCGTAGCGAGGCGTTACGCAGCTGGTTTTCCATTCAGTGTGGTATGCGCAACTTTCCATTGATAGCTTGAACATCTTAAGCAGAAACAGGCTTTTGGTCACCTCTGGTTCCGATGACGAGTGGGTTTAGGTAGTCCGATCCAATACATGTTTACAGTGGCAAGTTCTTGACAGCTTCTGTGATACTTTTGGCAGTAAAATCCATGTCGGTTCATGAATCCGCGGTAAGCAGCGTAAGAGTGATTAGATTAAACATGCTGGGACCAAATTTCGCAAACGATTCACTAAACAGTTCACAAATTTCCGGGGGGATCGTTGCAGATTATCCGGTTGTGTAATAAATAAGCTACGTCTCTCGATGGCTACAGACGTTCAGTCAAGAGATGGGTCAGGCTTCGTGTCCTAGAACCACTTTTGATGGCACCAAGCCCTTCGTTTATTAAGTCCCGTCCACATACATTCTTAATTGCCTGATGAGTATAGTACAACATCAGAAAGTCTTTAGAAGAGTGATACAGAGCAGACGATTTTCGTGGTTTGTTCCGAAGTATTCGAGGGATGTATTGGTCCTCATTTTTCTCCACCGCAACTGCTTTGAAGGGAGCAATGATATCCTAACAGCATTATATTTCCAACCAAAAATGAAAGTGACTGTTAATGAGGATGTTATAAAGCATTTATCCCGCGGCCAGCACCTGAGGGGCTCCAATTCCTTAGTTTTGTAGCTACGTTGCAAGCTGTTTCTCACAGGTTCCTTGTTCCCCTCACGAAGGGGAAAGATTGGTGGGTAACAGAAAACCATTCTGTGGTCACATTTAGCAAATCCGGCACCAGCGTACATGGTGACTGAGATGACGTCATGACAAAAGACTGGGTCCAATGTACTGCCTCCACCTGTGGTTGGCTGGACTTATTGTTTCTCTCCATGGAAATCTAAGATAGTTGGTATTCCGTCATAGCGCTGTGCACCTCAACCGGTTTCCCAGTTAACTTCGGGGAGGTTGAAGTCTTGCAATCATTTTGAAGTCAACACTAGTGGATGCAGCGCGGGAAAATGATTGAGCAGTAAGCTCATCCGCTTCCCTTGATGAACATAGTGTTCTACAACCGCAGCCCATGAGGGTTTTACAGTTAACACCGTTTATAGTGACCCATGGTGAATCAGGCAGAGCACTTGATGCACCACCTTCACTCTTATTAGCTGTGGCATGACTGCATTTATAAATCAGGCAACTGCCCCCAGGATTGTGATCCCGGTTAGTGCAATGAAGAGTATAATCATCTTTGGACCGGTCTACATCAAGGACTGAGGCAGAGTACCATGACAGCATGAAATTTATACTTTTAAGTACTCTATAGAAAAAGCACGTACAATGAGCGCCATAGCAAGGAAAGTTAAGTATGGAGAAACATGAACATAGCAAACACTCCTTGTTAGAACTCTTGCTTTCTCCGCCTACTGTCTTGTCTGTTTTTCCCGTTGTAGAAAAGTAGTTAAGTTCCAAACGTTGGCTTGGTTGCCATGAAGAATTAATTACTTAAGGAACAAACCATGGCTAAAACTACCCTCCATGGAGGGTGACCAGTTTTGCCGCGTTCAAAATGCCCGACTACAACAAGCAGAAATAAAAATATCCACTGGACTACAACTTCATAACTGTCAAAACCAGCATCTACTGATTATAAAAAGTGACCAGCAATGTCAAGCACTTACCAACCTCAAAGCTGTTACTACCCGTGAAAACGGTGGCAGTCCATTCGGCGGATTCAAACAAGTTTATTGCTTCCGGAAGCCGGAGTTAGAAAAGTGAAGACATTTGGCTCTCAGTCATTATATTCATCAAGATTATGAATCTTTGTCGTGGAATGGTATTAACATGCACGAATTGTGCAGTCCTGGAATCATCAATGAAGCATAATGAGTGAACAGCTCGTGCATACGTTCACTAATAAACTTTTCTATCATGTGTAACTAAAGAATCCGGTTAAATTTCTTCCCGGTCTACCTGGGATTGCTTTACTACTAGAGTGGCTGGTGTAGCACTATTACTGATCATAGCAGCACTGTTCGATTGTCTCTCAGCGCATGCAGTAGCTTTACAGTTTGCATGTTGTGAAATGGTAGGACCATTTCTCCTCTGTTTTCTACGCTGACGTGGGGTTTTGTCCCGTACAATCGTGGTAGTTTTAAAATTGCTATTTAGTCCTATCTGATGGTGATGGCTGATAAACCTCTTAGCACCACATGAGGTGGTGAACCTGAAGAGAATGGGGCAACTCAACTGTCCCGCTTTCTTACGGGGCGTTTACAGCCACAGTGCATAGCCGCTATGCCACATGAGCTCAGTACTCCTCCCTCGGTGATATCCAAATGTATAGCAGCTGGGACATTATATACTATGACTTGTTGAGACGCCAGACTTTCCATTCCTTTGGTTGCCAGGTGGTCTATTAGGGTTTTAGCTTCTTCGATATGGCTTGAGACTAGGCTGTTGTGTTTCTCAAGATGTGCTGAGAGTTGGAAGCCCTCAACTATTCTCTTGATTCACTCTATCGTTGACTTAATATTGTCAACTTTTCCATTTTCCTCGATGCCGTTATTCAGTGCCGACATAATGTCTTCAGCCCTGACGTGAGGTCCGAGGGACGTAAGTTCGTCAGGACCCGAATAATGTGACGCTATAGAGTTTCTGTCGTAGCCCGACATATTGGTGGAACCAACTCTTATATTCTTATCGCCAGAGCTATCTATCTTGGAATGCCTTGCTTTCGACCATCTCATTCTTAAAATAGGTTCTAGGTGAGATTTCCAGCCGGCAGTAAAAATGTCCCATCCAAAAGAACGGGAATGCACCGTCTATAGGCTGTAATGCGGCCTTAAATCATCCGGACAGAATAGGTGGTTATATTGAAATAAACATGTAAAAATAATGGGCTAAACACAACCAGAAATCGACAAATGGATATAATCAGGGATCACGTGGAATAATAACGTATGATCTTAACGTTACCGCGTTTGAAGATTGGCTTGCGTTTAGCGATGAAAACTGGGGGGTTGTGCATGTAAAAAGTGATGCATATCATGCACATAACGTAAGACAAATTGGAATACACTTTAAACGGCAAAATGTACCCAGACAGGCTGTTTATTCATTGATCAGAGAATAAGGGGTTGAGTCAAGGCTAGAGCGTTGCTTCACGTTTCTGCTGTTGGCTAGGCTATGGACTATGAACTAGTGGCTGCCGACCTGATCTAAGAAGACGCAACAATGGTGAATGCCAAAGTGTAGATGTCTGTGCACCAAAAAACTCTTCAAACCAAAGTCATTCGACGGCACCTTGAAAGATTAGTTAGCTGCCATTAATATATCTTGAATGTTTATTAGTTTATTTTGCTGTCAAGAAAGCGCCCTACAAGTCTCTCAAGACCTAATGCCCTATGCCGTCTGTGACCGAAAATAAACATTTCGTGGAAACTCGGCGAAATAACTCTCAGACAAACTTTTGAACTGTCTGATAGTAGATGTTTTCACCAGATTTTCAACAGCTTCATCGGGCTTCACCTGAAGTTTGGGAAAATAAACGAACGTAGACATAAGGTCTACAATGGATGAAAAACGACTAATCAGGCTCGATATATACCATCTAGAATATAGAAAACTAAGAGAGGACACGCTAATGACTTAGTGTCTTGTATAACCCTGAACAGCCTCTCTGTTACTTACCGAATCTCACTTGTAGCACCACTCTAAGGAAAAATATAGAGTATGAGCTCAAAACATAGCAAGCTAGATATCAGACATAACTTCTATTCCCTGAGAGTTGTTAGGCCCTGGGGTGCTCTCTCTGCAGTAGTGATCCAGGCTACTTCATCTGAGTCCTTTAAACGCCAGTTTGATGCGTAACTAAGATTTGGTTCGAATCTGCTCAGAACTAACTTCAAACTTCGTGTTGTAGAATTAGTGAACGGCGGTTCCTTGGGTTTTACGTCTGTCTTATTGGAATACGTTCTGAGTTTGGAATGGTCACACTTATCTTCCCGGTTCCGAAAAACCTGAAAGGATAGAGATACGATTAATAATTAATCTGGTTTCAAGGTAGTATTACTGCATCCGATCTGGGGAAAGCTTCTTGAGTACTGTAGGACTCGAGGTGTGCGTCTAACCTCCTTTTAAAAGTATCAAGGGATAGGGCTGTAACATCTGTTGAAGGGAAGGAGTTCCACAGTTTACGGACTCTAACTGCACATAAGTTAGCAGGGATCTTTGTACGTGCTTTCTCATGCTCTATTCTTAAGGGGTGACCCCTCAGGTCGCGTTTCCGACTAGAGCTTAGAAGGCATCTGTTACGGTGGGGGGAGGGGGGAGGGGGTTATGGGCAATGTGATACACCATGATCATATCCCCTGTGATACTCCAGTGCTTTGCTGGGTGTAGCTGAAGAACAACCAAGCGGTCTGGGTACGGTTTGTGCCGTAACCCAATCTCTTTGTAGCTCTTCTCTGTACTCGTTCTAAACTGAATTTAACTGCCACGTTTCGTTCTGTATTTACCCATATGTAGTTTAAAAACCAATTTAACCAATGATCCATGGACTCTAGATGTGGAGGCCAGTTAAAGGAAAGCTCTTTCTGTTCTGACAATTACTGTTTCGACCATTCGGCACGCGCGCATTACAATAGTGAGAGGTGGGGCACTTATTCAAATTTGTCGTACGGGATGACGGCTCCGCAACCCTCTGGCTTATGCCTATCTGACACGCCTTCAGAGTGGATAAATAAGCTTATATATCGTGATGGTCTTTATAGAGAATTAACATCCACCTTAGATATAGAGAGATGTGGTAATGTCATAGCGATTGTTTGTAATCATGTTTTATTTCAGGCAAAGTTTGCTTTAGTGGTAATCGTGAACTTGACTATCCACCACTAAATGATAACCTTAGTTATGAAATGGAGGTTATTAAGTCATTCCCACTACCACCTGACCTGGTGGAGAAATTTGCTGGTACACTTTTCACCAATTAATTAAAATACCTTTCTTGGTAGGTATGCAAACAAACTGTCTGATGGGAGTTTTCCCTTCGTGTGAAAAAGTGTGGGTAACAATAGACAACGAGCTATTTTTGTGGAACTTTGAGGACGGGTTTGTGCATGAATTTTAGAGTGCTTATAAGCATATTTAGGGAAGATTTGGCTTATTACGATGGAGTGGATGATGTCATCGTGTCTGTATCGCTTATCGTGCCGTCTCCTGGTGAGTTTATTTGATATATGTTAGATTTTGAATTTTTTCACCACTGCCTTTAGTCATTGAGTTATATGCGACCTTTTTGACTAGTTTCTAAACTTATCATTAGTATGAAAATTATTATTATTATTTATTATTAGTCCCTTGGGTTCCTAGTGGAACATAGGGCTTCAGTAGCACGTCTCCAGTGACCTCTATTCTCTGAGATCTTTTGAACCTGGTCCCACGACAGCCCAGAAGCTCTCATTTCCTCCTCGCACGACCTCCTCCATGTCACCCTTGGACGACCAACTCGTCGCTTCCCATGGGGGCGAGGGCGAGGCGAGGTTTAGTATGAAAATAGGCCACCAAAATGTTTTTATTCCTGAGGATTGCAGACAAAGGTCTTATCTATGAATTTGTTGCGAAGAATGATATCGCAGGCCGCCGGCCATATTAGATGAAGTTTTCATAATTCATATCGATGGTTCTTCGTTAGTTTTTAGAAATCACTGTCAGTTAAATTAGTGTACTTGAAGTAGATTATTAATATTACCATAATAACAGTAGTAACATTCATGATAATGATAGTAAGGCCGTATCCTACCTTTTTCCCATGCGCACACTGTTCAAACTATTAATGTAACTTGCTTCGAATGCGTTCAGAATTCCTGTGGATTGAATTGTGAGACGCTGAAATCGTCTAATGAAATACATAGAAGCATATTTTAATGTTGCTGCTGCTCTTTCCCTATTTCTCAATTTCAAGCATGGCTTTGCACTTATTTTCTTTACCCATTGGTGCTTCAGTTTGTTTTATTGTTTTTATCTAAAGGACGTGTTACCCTAAGCACCACTGTACAGTTTTCGCATAACGATATGCCATTCAATTAGGTTCTGCCTTGCTTGAAGTCTGATATCAAACTTTTTGAATACCTTAGAGTTCCTTTCAATCGTTTGGACGCTCATAAACTCACGAATTTGAAAGTTCGTCTCTTCAAGAAAGGCAGTCAGCATGTCTATTATGTTTTTGAGATTTTTTTCTAAGACATCAGAAGTCGTGTTGCACAGAACATGAAGACATAAGCCAAAGAGGGTCTAAAGACGGTTACTTAATTGGTGTAGAGGACGTGAATAGGAAGTGTGCTCAGATATAGTTTCAGAGTTCGTTTACACTTAAGTTGGTAGGAAAATCTTGGTGGTTTCAGAATCGATCTTGCTGGCGCTAATTCAATTCAACTGTCCCACAGCAACGCTTTAGTTGCCCAACACCCAACCAGTTCGAACCTAAGTGGGACGTAGATATCGGTTCCCCAACTCTCCTCAGAGTTGAAAAGGCTGTTTCGAAACTGGAACGATACAAAGCAGCAGGACCTGACAGTGCCACCCAAGGTTTTAAGGGTGGAGGTAGGAAATTACTGAGAGGAGTAACGGAGGTACTAGGTAGTGTATGGTAATCAGAGGAAGTCTCGCCAAACTGGTCTACTTCACTGATCATCGCGGTTTATAAGAAAGGAGAAGTCTTCTTACGACGACCATAGAGGAGTCAGCTTAACTAATATCGTGTGTAAGATCCTAGAGTCTATAATTATCCGACGCCTAACTGGAGCTCGAGAACAACATAGAGAAAATTAGACAGGTTTCAGACGTGGACGTGGACGCTTCGATCAGATCTCCACCCTTCGGTAGGTTTTAGAACACAAGCATACTTAACGGCGGTCGACACTTGTCACATTTTATGGCCTGGAGGCTACACTTGACTTTATCAACTGGGGTGTTGTGGCAGTATCTGACTGTGAAAGGAGTGTCAGACAAGTATGTACGCTAGTCAAAGCTCTCTATTCTAACTCACGCAGTCGTGTGAAAGATTGAGTTGTCATCTGAACTGACAACTAGTAGTGTCGAGAAGGGATGTCTACTGTCACCGTTGCTGTTTAACACTTTCACAGACCTGTCAATGAAGATAACCCCAGATAATTTCACCTGAATCATTCCCAGAAGGGTCTCTAGTTCACTTGGAGTACTCAGACGAAATTGTCCTGCTAGGTTATGACGCTGAAAAAATGCAGGGTCTTGTGAATACCTTCGGCAGAAATCTTACTGTTCAGCATTCGTTTGCACTTGTCAAACCTTAGATGATTTACAACTGGTCTGTGCTGACTTCTAGCTTATATGTAAGTAGTTAGGTGGCAAAATACGTCGGAATGTTGTATCTGCCCAAATGCGTTGGTCGCTTATAAAATCTCAGATAGGATAAGAAAAGGTTTCTTTGCATTTTCCAACTTACACCTTTGGCGCCTGCACCTGGGCCAGTTACCTATTAAATGACCGGTATGCTGCATTGCAAAAGTCTTGTTACACAGCTGTGAGACATGACTCTTGAAGGTGTATATGAAGACACTACGTGTATTTGACATAGGTGTTTTGCAGCATTGTTCCCATGGTAGAAACACTATGTGAGTGATGGTGAGTTTAGGAGTAGGGTACCGGCAAGGAAGGCAAGTCAATCTACAAAGTCATGAATCTTTGCCAACTGAGATGGCTTGGACATGTTGCGCAAACCAAGCCACCGCTTACATTGCTGCGCGTTGCAAACTGAATTAGGTTTGAGTTAGAAGGCTGAGAGCTGTCATGCCAGGACATGGCACTAGTCTATATAATCTTCAACTGTTAGTCAGTCATGTGAGGAAAGATAAGCTCTCTGGCTAGTCCAGGAAAGAACAGAAATCAATGGCTTTAGTTTTGATGAAATGACTCGAAACTGGTCACAGTGGCGCGAATATATTCACTCCTTGTCATTTTAAAAGTCCTGAAAACTTCGTTGATAACCTACTTTTTCTCTCACCTCACATGTCTACCTTCATATTCACTTCTCAACCCACTTCCTTTGTGTATGCTACAGTGAGATTTAGCAAGTTAAACCTACCCATTTATATCACTCTTCGTTGGTTTACCTCTGTTAATTGAGTTAGTGAATCAATATCTACATGGGACCTGACATTAATGCATAACGGCCTAAGTTGCCATTTCTCCCATCAGCATACCAAAATACAGGGGGGAAAAATGAAAACCTGAAGTGTAATCAAAGTCGTGGAAATTCATAAGGTGAGTTAAATAACGAAAAGTAATATAACCATTAGAATGAGAATGTAAGTGTTCCCCCACCATTCTAGCCGTCTGTTCCAAGAGGCTGTCAGAGTAACATCATTTTCGGTGACGTTTTCATTAACCATCGTGTTTTTATTGATTTATTTTTTGAACAAGAATCGGAATTTAAAACTTTTTAAAATTTTAGTTATCTGATATTTTTGACATGTTTACGGTAATTTCGAATCTTCGCTAGATGTTAATTTACTGAAAAATGTTTGATCAGCATTAGTATCAATTGTTCCACCAATGTGCAAATCACTGATTATTTATTTTCTTACAGCTTACGGTATTCAGTAGTTTTATAGTATTCCTGCTAGATCCTGTTACACGTAGATTTGATCAGACACCTCAGAGATATACCAGATAACATATGTAGTATTAACTGCATAACAAATCCTTTTATTTTTAGCTCATTGAAATAGTTGAACATGATATTTTTGCAATTTATCACATTTTCAAAAGGTTAGTGAGCACAACACTGTGGTTCATTCGTTTTTTCTCACCTGAATTGTTTTGTGATTTCATATATTCTGGTACCATTTCTTTATCGCACTTGTTTATTTTTCAATTTTGAAACCTTAAGTTGTTTACATCAACCTTACCAGTATTTTAAGGTAGTTCGTCTTATGATTAACATGGTTATGCATTTTATAAATATTTTTACAGGTGTACTGCCGGAACATATTAGGTTCTTGTTATGCATAGCCACTCCGTCTGAAATTTGGCTCCTTGGCATGATGTATTCAACAGGAGGCAATAATCATACACTCAGTGTACAGTCTTCATCTGTTCTCGAAGTGATGCCAGATCCTCTATATTGTTTATCCACTGAAAACAACTATATTTCTTGCATTGAAGGCACACCAAATGGCAGGTAATGTAGTAAATATATTTTCCAATCTGATTGTTTTATCTCATGTGATATGTGTAAAATGAGACTCTAAATTTACCAGGTTACTCCTGATAGAGTGTCTTTGTCATTTCCGACGAGACATTTATAAATTCACCAACATGTCAAAATGATCACTAATCTTTTTTTATTCTAAAGCCGTATTTGTAATTGATAATTAGTTAGACGCAACAATGTACGGACTTGCATAAAAGTTCATTGTTTCGAGTTTTAAAGGTTTGCAGCAGCATAGAAAGAGGAAGCAAAAGTAAAATGTCAAAATGAACTCGATGATAAACAGGAGATGAAACACGTAAAAGGCGACTCATATATATACCCCTTAGTAAACCTAGCGCATCTAGTTGGGATAGCCCGAAAAGGTGAAGTTGCTGGCAAGATACAGAGTGTTCTGGACACATTAAGTGGCAATTTGAGTGTTCGGGATGCATTTTGCACTACCCAACTGCAAATTGTTGGCCCAACACTAGTTTGAATCTACATCTCATCTATGTAAAGTAATTGAATGTGTTGACCACTTTACTTATCTGGAGAATCAGATCAGTGCTGGTGGATCAGTGACCAGTAAATTTTCTGCACGGATACAAGAGGCTCATTTGACTGTCACCAACTTACGGCGTTTATGACCACGGAGTGATGTCTGACTGCCCACCAAGAGCTGAATGTATGGCGTAGCTGTTCTCTCCGTCCTACTATATGGCTGTGAAATGTGACCATTAAAGGTAAAGGATACTAGCAGGCGTTAAGTGTTGGACTGTCGTTGTTTTCGTAGCTTACGCCATGTTTCATGATGTCACTACGTCAGTAACCTAGAATCAAGCATAAGGCTAGCCACCGGCTACCTGGATGTGCAATGCTAACAGAATTTGGATTGCGTTTGTTGAGTGTTCAGGGTGATCAGACCAAGAGGTGGCACCCGTCCATGTAGTCCCCGACCTTTAGTCTGATTTATGTAGGGTGTTCTAGGCTACCTGGTCTGGGTGCCCGAGATAGGAATCAGTGGTTGGATACCTTTAGTGACACTCCCAAAATCGGTCACAATGTCTCAAATGTATTTAATCCTTGACGTCTTTCTTCTCTGTTGCACCTTTTTCTCCTTTGACATCAGTCTTTTCGCTGCACTTATTCTTTTTATGCTACTGTGAATTCTAGCAACTGGAACCGATGCACTTATTTGTGAAGTTCTGCATTGATTTTTTCTGTCTATCTTTTAGGGCAACTATGAAAAGGTTAAATGAAGCATTCGGATCTACGGCTCTATGATTTAGGCATTTGACTTTCAACCAGTGCACCACTGCATTTCAACAAACAGGCAATATCATTTGCACTCATGTAGTGTTTTTGAATGACAACCTTTTGCATGAAAATAGCTGTGATTTCTGGCTAACGTACACTTTAGTTCAACCTGAAGTTACAAATATTTTTAGATCCAGTGGGACATTCTATGTATTTGTGTATTTACAGTGTTAGTTTATGCACTGTTCTTGATTATGAATCTATGCTTCTGTTGGTAACAATCATTTTTCGCCTACGCTCAATTTTCATTCTTACTGTTTTTCTCTTTATAGGATATTCTTGGGCACTCGTGAAGGGTTTTTGCTTGAGATGACCTATAGTTCAATACCGAATTGGGATATGGATTCTATCCAACCACCTATCGGTAAAACTGGACCTTGTACGCTTGTTAATCACTCTGTGTCTGCTCTCAGCTTGTTGTTACCATCAATCATAACATCTAGATTTCATAATGGAGGTATGTTATCAGGTCATGTAGTTTTTCGATACTTTTCTAGTAAAATGTGCCTCTTTTTGAGTCTATTAAGGTTAGTTATAAGTGTATTTGCCCCACTCCGACCGATCTTTCAGAATATTGTAACTGAATCCCTACCTTTTCAACACTTAAACCTCATAATCACATTTCGTTGTTTACCCTATCTCTTCTTTTGGTCAAATGGCTTTATACAACTCCTGATTATATTATTTCTACTTCTTCCCCCCTCCGTCTGTTACTTTCTACCTTGTGATTTAGAAACTTGGGCCACTACTCGGTAATGGCAGATCCTGTGCCAGTAATGTCTGACTCTACTGGGGAGACTACAATAGACATGTACAGAGTTTGTGCGGTATATGTACGCTCAATAAGATGCAGATGAAAGAAATATTATTTATTTTACTCAGTAGGCTTAAGGTTGGTGATCCACTGTGTGATTCTATCTTCATTTTTAGGTTAGTAAATATTACTTTTAGTTATGATAAAAACTGTTAATGTGATTCTTTCACTAGTAGTAGCCTTCAGTAAATATAACCTACTAGTTTAGTCAGTGAAATTTCTTCGAGCGTATTGAATAAACGAATGCGTTTATTACACTTGTTTATCTTGTTTCAAACAAGCAACTATTTCCATATTTCCACTTAGAGTTTTATATCTCTCAAAGACTTAATCGGTGCAGAATTTGTGTTCACCTATCCCTCAAGCATATCAAATCCATCCATCCAAATTAAAATAGGACCAGGCATTACTGCGTAACCGTCCGAGTTGCCACAACTCATATCACTACATCAAGTAAAAAGGCAGTGAAGTGGAAGATGAAGAAAAGAAAATCCAGTCAAAAGAAATATAAAGTTCAGAAAGAGAGAAAGGAAGAATGAGAAAATTGTGGGATTCGGTATAGTGTCGTTAAGATTGAGAATAATGTATGTATACATCTGCCCCCAACCGACATCGGTTCTGAGCCATATCACCTAGTCTCCAACCACTGGTTCATCTTGTCCCGCGGACCCCAGCCAGCTAGTCTGCATCACCCCACATGGCTCAAACCAACAGTCTGTGACTTCATACAATGATGTCATGTTTTAGTCTGGCCACGTCGAGCCGTTTTCCAGCCTGAACCTACGTCGGCCAACATAGTGTGACGAAGCAATCGGTGACTAGGCATACGTAACACATGTCGGAGCCAACCATCTCAGTCGATGAAGGTTCACAATCTCGTCAACTGACTTACCTCTTCTCCCTAAAGCTCTACACCTGAGCCTGACTTCTGCATTACCTACGTGGTGACATCACGAAATACGTCCTATACTACGAAGGCAACGGTGGTCAAACATCTGAAGGCTTCTCAGATCGTTGTCGAAGGCTGCAGAGCTAAGAGAAAGTGAAGATGACGTAGTACTATTAATTAAGAGACGTGAAGGAAGATTAAGAGGTAGTGATGAGGAAGGTGGATAGCAGTCTGAGGAAACTTGAGTACTGATAGGGTTGTGAGGGCGGTTGACACTTCGCGGCTGCCCACACCGTGGAAGGCTATTTCTTCTTAAGGTACCTGAAAGATATTTATGTGACCGCAGAGCCCACCGGACATCTGCTTGAGGTCTGTCACACACAGCCCCTTATGTATGGTTGTTTTGAACTTTTGTTGTTTTGGGGTCGGATGGTAGAAAAAAAACGACAAATGAACCAACACCGATGGCCCGGTAGACCGTGGGGCATGGTGGAGTGTTATTATTGGGGCTGGCCTTTTCTAACCCTCCTTTCCACTGAAAAGTCAGCATCAGCATGGCACTACTGGTCATCCAAAGGAGGCATCTTACTGCTGTCACGCCCAGTCCAGCTAGCAGCAGTACGAATTCACCCTCAGACCCCCATCTTAGTGTAGTAATTTACACCACAACGGTAACTGCTTTTCGTCTAACCACTTTCCAACAGACCTTTCTGGTATGGTAGGAACTCGAGGGGACAAGTGTTCCACCAGCATAGCTTGTTGGATCATTGTGATATGCAAGCCTGACCACCACGTTAAGGTAGCAGCTATCGGTCGAGTAGTATATCAAATGCAATTGCGTAGTAGTAAAATCACTTCTAGCCTACGGTTATAAGGCATGCACTGTAGTGTTTGTCAAATATTCGGAATTCAGATTTTCTTTACTCATGTTTTTGAATTATTTCCTGAATGTAATGTATACTGTTAGTTTAATATGACAAATTATAAAGACATATGAGGTTATTGACAGTAACAGGAAGAATATGTATGTGAAAAATTCAACTCAACTCCATTTAAAGGTTTGTGGAGATTTATTTGTTGATTTCAGGTTGGCATTCCTCATGGCCTGACATCACCTAGTGAAACATTAGAAACCTAGGAGCACTGGAAAGCTGTTTCATCCTAGTATGGGACTCCTCAACAGTGCGCACCCATGACCCTGCCAGGGATCGGACCCAAAACCTTCAGGTCCCGCGGCCAACACGTTAGCATTGAGCCACTGGGTTGGAATCAGGTAGTCCATATTTCCTACTTTTGTCAACTCAACCCATTGTATGTTTATGTACTAGGCTATAAGCCATATATTGTATGAAGGCTTGTAAATATTACCAAGTTGGTCAGGTTTGATAAATCATAGCTTAGTTTAAATCTTGAACCTATTGCATGCAAGTTGTATGTTTAACTTAGTGAGCCACATCTTCACGAATGCTTATGCTTTGCTCCAGTAATTTGTGTCCCATTTACATAATCGAGATGATAAATCAAGCTTTGTTGACCACCTTTAGTACTTGATAGATGCACAGAATTCATTTAGTCAGTACATTACCTCATCTATCAACAGAGATGTATATTGTTGGTAACATCAAGATTGAACGCGACAGACACTGATTGCGTTGAGCTGTTTCCAAGTGACATGGGTCGTTCGTTCGCTTTTGTTTTGATTTACAACAACTAATTCCAACAGAATTTCTAGGCGTACCAAATTTACCCACCTGTCATATTTTGAATTGTCCTACGGTTCTTTAGAGTTTTCAAACATAGGACAACAGTTTATTTTTTTATCTCCATACCTTATTTCAAGTCTGACAGCATGTAGCAGCAGTTGATGTTATTTTATTTTTTATGCTGTGGATCAATATCTGTTTGCAACTGAGTCAAAGCCATCATTATTCAGTTGACACGCACCGATATGGCTAACATTTTTACTGCTACCAAAACATCCTGTAATGATATACTTTATTGGGATTCAATTTTATGTTAGTTACCAAGTGCTTCCACCTTGTAGTCATATATAAGTATGCGTGGCAGATAAGCTTTACCTGTTGATTATAAAGTATGTCTACTCAGAAACCCAGACTGGAATAGATGGAATAGGTTTTATCCAGCATGGTTTAATGCCGAAAACTAATAATCCCAGTAGAATGTATGGTACTATTAAGATTCATAAGCCAGTTTATTCCATCAGGCCTATAGTGGGTTTTAGAAACACTCCGACTTACGAGTTGTCTAAATATTTAGCAATGGTGTTAGATCCAATAAGAAATCACTCAAAGTCTCGACTTAACAACTCTTATGACTTAGAGCATAGGTTAGACGACATACACTTGGACGACAGTGAAAAAAGGGGTAGGTTTTAGTCGATGATTTGTGGACTGGAATTCAAGTATACTCATCATCATCATGAGTGGTGCTTGATTACCCGCTATATTAAATTCAGCATCTCTTCTTGTCTTCTTCCTCTCTTTTACTGCTTTCTACTGTTTTCAATCGTTTCTTCATCTTTCATCTGATTGCTTTGTTACTTGGTGTAGTGATATGAGGTGTGACAACGTAGACCGTTACTCAGTAGTGCCTGGTCTTATGTTGACATTGATGATGAGCCCCGCAAGTTTACGGTCAATGATATATTGTACGTTTTTATAAAGGGATTTCATCCGAGCACCCACTAGGCATTAAACAAAGCCGCCTTTGATACATTTTTGTGGTGCATTATTGTTGTTAAGTCTTACGCACTAGGCAGAACTTACAGCGCATAGAAAGGTGTCCGGTGATTGGGAAGAGTTACTGATTTAACATTGTAGGGACATTCAAATAGGTTAGTATCCTACTGAATAGCTAGGAAACACTAATCTTTTATATTTCACTAAGCAATTCAGCGTGGTCGAAACACAGGCCAGTTGTTTCACACCACATGAAGTTTGAATTTTTCTTTGATATACTCAGACAAAATTCAGCGCTGTGCCGAGTTGTTCAGGTCAGTGGAATGAACTAGCAAATCATGCAATGTCTGTGAAAAGTAACCGGTAGAAATCAAATTTTTTGGTCTCTGGCATAAAAGTAAAAAGGATTACCTCTAGAAACTATGGTATATGTATCCATCCAATTCAGCCAGAATCAGTCGGCTACGCGTATTTCTCTTGTTTGAGCTGGATTTATCTTGGTCTATATTGGCTCCAAACAAGAGGATAAATGTCCGCTGTTTCGAACAGTGTAATCCGGTTAGCAAAATCTGTAGATCAGAATGAGTTTTTTTCAAGGTAGTCGTGTTATTCAATTGTATTTTTCGTTGGTCCGCCACACTTTCACTTTGGATATTACAACTTGTGACCTTGTCTAGAGAGGTTTCCATAAAGAGATCCCGTCGACACCTCAGTTGAATGTTTGAGAACGCTACTCAGCCATTCGAGATGACAGTCGAAACCCTTTAGCCCACTTCATTTCCAAGTGACTGATTTAACAATGATGGGTTTACCTTTACTAAATAACCTACACTAAAAGCGATCTGCGCTGGTCGTTTAGATCATTCTTAAAGTAGATTTACATGTAGATACAGATAAACATTTTTCTCCGTCGTATATAAGTTTTTTTTCTTAACCACCTATTCCATTTCTTGATACTAGATTCAATTGTACAGTTGTCTGTGGACACTGCACGGCATCTACTTTATACTCGTACGGAAGATTCTCATCTAGGAGTATATGAGTTTTCTGATAAAATATCTGGTTCTTTGTCACGTTTGTCTACATTGTCAGCGTCAGACTTGGCCTATCAGGCTTCTTGTATTGTTCGTTCTGTGGACAAGAATCAATTCCGGAAGTAAGTAACTTTAAGGTTATCTTGTATCATCCTCATCCTTTTTTGTGCATATTTCTTAAATACTGGTTAGTTATTGGGTAAATATAGTGTGACTATGGATTTAGTCTACAACATAGTAAGATAACTTGTCAAGTGATCAATAAACAGAAGTAGTAAGATCTCTCTGACTGGTGTTTCCTTCTCGTTGTCACAAGAGAGAGTTGAGAAGCGTGTTTGCAAAGTACATCACCTCCAATTTCACGGTGGGTTGTCACTAAATATTACTCCTAGGTTAACTGACAAAATCTAGTCTACATTGGGTATTTTTTTACTATGGGGTAGGATTTACTTTCGGCAACTTCACTTGGACGGCTTATTTCCACCTAGCGAGGTTTCAATGCCAATGTAAAGACATAATTGACTTTCAAAAATCTGCGTTGCCATGATGCGTCAAACAGACGTGCACATTATCGCTGGATACCAAGCATGCCAAAACAATTACGTGTTTCACTCTACACTTAAAGTGTAAAAGATTGTTTCTGCACAGAGTAGATGAGCTTGGTCATATACAACTTAATTAGGCAGCCTTGAAATAGGGCGTAGTATACCAGTATGAAAAAGCTGGAAAACTTGATAAAGCGGTCATATATCGTTTATTACATTGTTTAGAATACGTTCACCATACACTAAGGTGTGTTCCTCGAAATATAATATTGACTGGTAAGAGCATGTTTGAACCAGACTCAGCAAAAGATCCTGTCATATACCATCAGATCTTTGATTATTGATACAGACGTTTAGATAAAGGGGTCGGTTGATTAAAAATGCTAAACAATATATTCCAAAGCAGCTAGAGGTAATGGAGTTACGTTTAAACTAAATACTTATTAATTCCATGTAACTTTTATAGCATTGTTATAATAAAAATGTGTGACACGTTAAAGATCTAAGTTGGGAGAACAAAGTGTTCGTGACAAAATTTATTGCATGAAGGTATTTATCTAGTTTCATTGGATAATTGGACTTCGCTGGTGTGGTATCAAACATTATCCTATGCGGAAACTACAAACAATTAGCTATAAACTTCTTAGTTATAAGTATATATTCTTCTTAGGAGTATCTTAAATGGATTGCACAACTAGGTCAAAAATAGGATGGAAATGTACCCAACAACTATGCGCGCTTCCGCACTTGCCCAAACCTTGTTAGGTGAAACGGAGTTCAACCTCATGATCTATTGGTTGGAGATCACCTGCTTAAATCAATTATGTTCAAAAGACAGTTCACATTTAGTAATTAATATCACACCTGATGCTGTAAGACATGCTGGGATGCGTTTCAAGCAACGATTGTATTATACGGTAATATTATGTTCCGAAACATGTTTGTGAGAAACAATTTTCAAAGGTACTAACCGACGTTATATGGACCTTGGTGACTAGCAAACGGAGCCAGGACGCGCGTCTCGTCCTGTTTGTGATTCGTCAGCTAGATGTACCCACACCACAGTGAGTGATGTTGTTCCCACAGGGACTCGAACCCAGTACCTTTCCTTCCAAACACCAGAGCGTTATCCATGAAGCCACTGGGGCACAATAGCCACCTCTTGTGTAACAGGTGTCAGTTGTCGTGGTGATATCGACTTTCGCTATCTTACTACTAGTGATTGGGAGATGTCTTTCATTTGTTTACGTTTCGTGTTATAAAGCCATTTAATGAGTGATGATATAATTTTAGCCTAAGAGTTGTAGGCAAGAAAAACAAATGAGCTGGTAAAAATTTGAATCTATGCATGTTAGTATGATTCGACATTGTTCTAGTCAATCACAGTGTATAGGCTATTCTATACAACTGACAAGAGATGGGACATAAAAAGTGAAACACGTATTGAAAGTTGTTGATTTGAGTAATGAAGCTGTGGCTCAGTGGTTTAGGGAGGTGATTATCAACCATCAAGTCGTAAGTCCAAAGCCTGCTCCATCTATTGAGGATCGGGCAACCAGATAGTATCACTAGTTCTCATATCATAAGTGTACCTCACTGCCTACTGCAAGAGTGTGCACAAGATTGTTAATTGCGTATCATTCGTTCGTTTCGATTTGAGTCCTTTTAAGAGTAGTTATAGGCTTTTATAATTAAGGTTAATAAATATATGATAGGTTTATTATTGGTCTTATTGAGTTTTAATTACCTGTTAGTCAATAAATAAGCATGGACAAGTTCTAGAATTTTACTGGGGATCAATGCAGCCTTTAATCTTGTTCTCGATCATCTTTACATAAATAATGATCTCATTCTAACATATTGTTCTTTTATTTATTCCCTATAAAATAGTATTGTTTCTGTAACACCGTTATCAGCTGGTTTATGCTATCTAATGGCTGTTACAAGAACAGGTATACGTTTATACTTTGGTGAGAATCTTCGCTTGCTGCATATACGACTTCCACCATCTTCACCATATGATACTGTTGGTTTAGGTGATGTAAAGTAAGTGGTTACAGTTTCATATATCTTATTCACATTAGTGTTTTCTGCGGACAAGAAGTTGAATATTTTACTGGTGTTGATTGAAATTTATAATAGTAATCCTTGTTGTATATGTTACTAAGGGAAGCTGGATTAGATTGGAAGAGAATTCAAGGTGGCTAGGTCAAGATATGACACCAGTCGATGAAGTCTTTCACTGTTGATCTGAGTTGTGTAGACAGATATAGACTGCCTGGTTGGAGTCCTTGTGAAATGAAAAGAATCAGTGATTGAGAACTCTTAATGACATACATGACTGAAAATCAGTCACAATGGTGCACATATATTCACTCCTTGACGTCTAAAGCCTAATTTTTTTGCACTAACCGTTATCTTCAAATTGTTTATTCTCACACACACTTGTTATTTTTGTACTACTGTGATGTGTGGCAACTTGAGCTGATAAACTTGTGTGCTAGACCCTAAGTTGATTCTATCAATTAATATACGCTATCTTTATCAAACATTTTTTTTTGTAAACTCACCACTTGATGATGTAGCTTTACGGTCGTTTTGAGGATATACTTCTCAGTCTAGTATTTGATTCTACTTAATATGACTTTTAGTTCGCATTTATACTTTTTTATTACAATCATTTATATGGTATACCTATCCAATTCATAAAATAAATGATTCAGCACGTAAAAAAGATACTTTTATTGTAAGTATATGAACATCACATCAGCTACTATACAGTAACCAACTTGTGTACATAGTCTTGTTTTACAAAGATTCAATGGTAAATAACTTCAGTACTGAGTGAGTGATACATGTTTAACTGTTCCAGGAAGCATGAGTTTTTTCAAATCGTTGCTAAATACCCTCTATCAAAAAGTGCTAGTAATCATAAAATCTAATTTCTAGGACTTCTTGTAGATTAATGCCTAACATCTATGACTGTCAAACTTCAAGAATATCAAAGATCGCTTAACTAACATAAATAAAGCACTTAAAGTTGCCATGCCCTTCAGCAGTGTCTGCACAGAAGGATGAGATGAAGAATGAATAGTAGTGAAGTAAAACGAATATGTTTGAGAGAATAAGAAATCTATCAATGTAAAAGTTAGGAAAAATCTTACAACTTTCAAAACAACAAAGAATGCATACATCTATGCCATTGTGTGACAGATTTTGCACCATATCACCAAGGTTTCTGAGATATTGACTCTTACCACCTTGGGAACTCCAGCAAAACCAACCTACATGACTGAAATAAATAGTCATAAATTTCATGTCGTATTTACTTAGGCTATTCCATAACAAAATTATTATTCTTCATAAAAATAGTTTAGTTCCCAGAAGATATACCATATTCTTAAAGAAATTACTGAACATCTTCCTCAAGAATATCTGTTTATTGAAAGCTTATTGGCTTAGGAAGATGACTTTTAACCAACAAGTCATGGGTTCGAACCCCAGTTCACCTACCAAGGTTTTTGGCAGCCCTCACAAAATAGGTGTAGCTAATTGCCTACTGCATAAATGTACACAACGTTGCTGACTCCATTTTGGATTCGAACCTCAGATATTGTACAGTTTCGTGTCTGCCTTGTAAACGTTCACTGTTGCTAGCTGGCTGTACAAACGTAGTTTGGCGGACGAAAGTTGGCATTCGTGATAGATTTATTAAGTAACGACTGAATAAATCAGCTTTTGAAAGAGTGCTAAATGTGAATGATAATTCAAAGAAAATTTGGTTGCTTCGTTAAAATGTATTTCTACTTATGACAGTGTAATTCTAATTTTATGGATTTGTGATTAGAGTAGGAGGAGGAGGAAAACATAAACATATTTATTTCATTTTCAAGTGTAATATTTTAAAATTTCATGTAAACTGAGACTTATGCTTGTTTCTCTTTGATTATTTTCTTCAGGTTAGCAGTTGAAACTCGTGGTACTGTGGTTATGATATCAACTTTACCATCAAATTTGTCCACAATACCAAGCGGTAGATATACATCACAATATACTTCAGTTAATCAATCAAGTTTAAATATGAGTTTAGGACAATTTTTTACTACAGATATGGACAGTAGCTTTCGGGCAAGATTGAATCAATCTAATGATAATGATGGTGATTTCGACAATAACTTGAATGCATTCACAAAACAGGTACCACCGCATGTGATATATACAATTAGTCCAGATCTATATCCATGGACACCTAATTTAACCGAGAGTTTTACATCTACATGGTGTGTTGGTGGTGCATGGGCTTTAACAGTCCTACCTGATAATTATTTACATATGGATTCTATGGGTAGTGATCTGTCTGCTTATTATTCAACAGTTGAGAAAAGGTGATGATATTATACGTTTATCATTTGACTATCTGAGATAACAGCCGTAGTTTAGCAGACTAGTATTTATACTGGGTGATGATTGAAGGTGAAATTGAAATTTGGACCGCGTCCAGATTCGAGCCAGGGTTTCTGGCCTGATGCTTTGCCAAATGACCTACAAGGTCCGACTGCTAATCAGATTTTTATTTCACTTCAATCACCAAGGATTTCGCCCTACTATGTCGTTGCTCAGTTGGTAGATCAATTGGGCTAGAAACCTGGTGGTCGCTGGTTCAAATTCGGTTGTGGTCCAAATTTTCATTTCACTACCTAGTATAGATAGTATTTGTACTAATTTGAGTTTATTAGATTATTACTCGTCAATTAACCAGACTGAAATATTTTTGTATGTGTATGTAAACTGCAGACATGTGGCTGTGGCTCATTAGATCAGATAGTTGATTTCCAACCAGTAAGTTATAGGTTTGATTTCACCAGATGGACACATTAAAAATCAGATTGACTTCATCTAAATCTCAAGAAAGTGGAGACGCAGCCTACTACACACAAGATCAGATCAAGAAGAGGAACAAATGTAAGTTCACACCACTCACTATCTAGTACAAGGAACCTACCTTCAAAATCAAGTTGAAAGCCTTCAAAGAAGTTGGTGATAGACCACAGTTCAAGTTGAACACCCAGAACACAAACTGAAGCACGAAACTACAAAGGACATCTTCATATCAGTCACCAGGAAGAAATGGGAGATAGTGAGCAATATCCCTGAAGAAACCTGCATGCAAGATTACTGGAAGTCTTTGAAAGAGATGTGGAAGGAGACCTGCATAACCGTATTAAGAAGGAAGGAAGGAAGAAGAAGAAGAAGAAGCAAGACAAGGAATGGATCTCAACGGACACACGGAAGCTGATAGAGGAGAGGAGAAGCAGAAGATGAACCAGTGCAGTAAGGGGATGAACAACGAATAAAGGAAACGAACACAACCTATAAAACACTACACTGAACAAAGAAGTGAAGTGAAGTGAAGAAGGGTGCGCGCAAAGACAAAATACACTTCTGTGACACATTGGCAAGTGAAGCAGAAGAGGCTACAGGTAGGAGAGACAGAGACCTGCTAACACGAAATCAAATAACTAGGTTACTGCTATCTGCGAGGGAAGCAATCAACACAGATGAGACCAATGACAGATAGTGAAGGAAACCTAGCTAAGAAAGAAGAGGAACAAAGAAAACAGTAAACTGACCACTTCAAAAAGCTCTTGAATCGACCACCACCACGACCAACACCATCACCACCTGCAACTCGTCCAGAGAGACCACCAGCAACCCAGCCACAGAATTACCAGTAAACATAAACCCTCCGACAAAGGCAAAAGTGAAGTCCTGAAAGCAATAAAGCTAGTGGAATCCGGGAAAGCAGCAGGATTAGATGGAATTCCACCAGAAGCACTGAAAACACATACAGAGGCAACAACAACGGACATGCTCACACCACTGCTGCAGAAGGTTTAGAAGGGAGGAAAGGTACCTGCCAACTGATTGGAAGAAGGGCTACCATATCGGCAGACTCCCAAAGAAGGGCGACCTAAGTTTTTGCAATAACTGGCACGGGATCATGCTCCTGTCCACCCAACACTACAGTTTTAGTGCCACAAACCTTTATCAACTTCCTTAAACAGCTATATGCTGTATGACGCAATATGCCAAGTGATTCACAATGGAGAGCTCAATGATGCCTTTGAAGTGAAGACAGGAGTAAGACAAGGCTGCCACCTACTATCACCGATGATCTTCCTAATTGTGTTGTAGTGAACTGGACTGAACTTGATTGGATCATGCAATAGACAACTGTGAGGAATGAGAAGATGGGCATACGTTTGCTGGACCAATCAAAAGACCCTAGAAAGAGATTTGGGTTTCGACACCGATGATGATGATGATGATAATTTATCCCTAATGTCTTGTCGCACAAACTCGAAGATCTACACGCGAAAACTAACAAGTTGACAGAAGAGGTGAGGCGAGATGAGGCGAGGCGAGGTAGCGAAGGAAGATGTGACTTCCTTCAGGTAAACGTAGAGAAGACACAGGTGATGAAGATACTCAACCACCACCACCACCACCACCACCACCACTAGTAACAACAACAAGCACCGATTAACATCAACGGGAGAAATCTGAAGAAAGTTGTCTCTTTCCGCTAACTACCTACGTAAGCAGGATACCATCGTTTCAACTACAGGCGGTAGTGGCACAGATCAGGATGTCTAAGCCACGATCGGTAAAACACCAAGACAGGCCTTACTGCATTAATCTCGAATAATCAGTGTGCAGATCTACTGCATTGTACTGCACTTCACTTCACTGCACTCAACATAAAGCGTGAACAACATACGCATTTTCAACGCTAACGTCAAGTGAAGTCAGTGCTTCTATGTGATGGTTCACAGAGTTGGCGGCGAGTCACGACAGCATTTCCAACAAACAACTGTAGACATACATCATAAACAGCTGCCGTCTACACTCACTCGATACTGAAGATGAGATCAGATGAGCAGAATAATGAGAATAAGGAAGGAGGAACTCTGGCTGGCTGGCCGGGTGGCTGTCTGACAACGAATCTACCAACAACCTATCACCCAACAAATGTGTAGAAGAAAATAAAGATAGATTCGACATACATACTGAGAAGACCATTTGGGGACATCACGTGTCAGACCAGGCTGTCGAGTGGAATCCACATGGGAAACGATGAGTTGGGCATCCGAGGTGAGGTTGTCATGGAGGAGATGGTGTTGGGAAGAAATGAAAGTTTGTGGGCGATGGTGGAGCTAGGTTGAAAAGACTGGAGAGGAGAGAGTGAAATGGAGACGTGCTACTGAATCCCTATGTTCCACTAGGAACCCAAGGGGCAAATAATATGATATGCTAGTGACTATGATCTTGCCTTAGGCTTTGCATTATGATTCTTCAGAAAGTTGAGCACTCACTCATTACAAGTTGATGTTCCAGACTGTAAACGATAATTATTGTTTTAACGCCTACGTTACCGTGGTACACAGATGAAAGTAGTTTGAGTGAGGTGTAAATTCTTGGACCCGTTTTTTGAAAGTTTATTCGTATCATAATCTCTCACATAGTATGTGTGATGATTAGTCTGGTTACGTTGTTATATATATATATATATATATATATATATATATATATATATATGTCTTATTTCCTTTTTCTTCATTGTGTTTCAGTCGTCCAGATCCTCTTCAACCAGGACAACATCATTCCTTACGCGGAGAGCCTCCAGTTGTACTAACTGAAATACTGGATCCACCGAGTCGTCGTTTATTATTAATTTCTGCTCAAGGTGTTGTACACTTTCGTCTACCTAGTCCTTTAACTCGGTTGAGAGAGTATTTATCTCGTAGTTACTCAGGTGCTTCACTGTTACCAGGCTATACAGATCCTCAAATATCTGATATCCTGAATTTTCCAAATTATACAGATGGTGGTCTAAAATTAGGCTTTGAAGGTGGTTACCTATCTGCTTTTCTACACCAATTAAGTTCTGATGAAGCTATTTGTGCTGCATTGGCAATTGGTGGAGCTGCTGCAGTTTCTGGTGGACCAGGGAAAAGTCTTCAAATTGCAGCTGAACAAGTAGTTGATTCTTATTGCTTTTATTATTTTTGTTCTTACTAGTTTATCTCTTTATGTGTTTAAAAATCTAGGAAAATATTTTTAAAAAATGCTTGAATAAGTATTGATTTTAACTCTTAATTGTAATACGCACCTTAGTGTTTCTGTTGTATATTATTATTATTATTTTTCCCTTGGGTAGCACGTCTCCATTGCACTCTCTTTTGAACCTGGCGCCACCACTGCCCACAAGCTGTCATTTCTTCATCATATGATCTCCTCCATGTCACCCTCAGCTGGGATGCCCAACTCATCGTTTCCCCCTTGGATTCCACTCGATGGCGTGATGCATGATGTCCCCAATCGGCCTTCGTAGTGTATGCCCAATCCATCTCCACTTTCTTCTACTGCATATTTGTTGGACGATAGGTTCTTGCTTCGTTGGTTCGTTCTCAGAGTTCGTTGTTGCTTATTGTTTCTGGCCATATGATCTTCAGTATCATCGAGTGAGCGTAGGCGGCAGCTGTTGATGAATGTCTGTAGTTTGTTGGATATGCCTTTCGTGACGCGCCAAGTCTCTGAACCATATAGAAGCACTGACTTGACTGTGCAGCCGCTGTCTGTAGTTGAAACGATGCTGCCTAGGTGGTAAGTGAAAGAGACTACTTCCTTAAGGTTTCTCCTATTAATGGTGATTGGTGCTTGTTGTTGATGCTGCTGTTGGTTGGGTATCTTCATCACCTTCCTCTTCTCTATATTCACTTGAAGTCCCATCTGTTCTATATACATATGACCTAATAGATGAACAAAATCAACATGGAATCTCGCTCAGAAATGCATTCCTCTAAGTCGTCACACGTCACTGTAGCATGCAAAGAACAATTGCATCGAGAAGGTGTGATATCAAAGCAGACAAAAGTGTACGGAAGACGAAAAAAAAATCAATGAAGATTGATGGGAATGTACAACCTTTCAACAGTGTTACTGAGTGAATACATCTGGGATATTGTGACTGATTTTCAACCTTGTCACTAAGAGGCATCCAACCATTGATTCCTATTATTTCGAGGACTTTAAGCAGGTAGTTTACACCTTACATTACTCAGATCAACTGTGAAGGACTTACTGGACTGGTATCTTGTTTTATTCTTTACGCCCTGAGTTTTCTTCCGATCGAATCTCGTATTGAAAATTGAAGTGAGCGGTGACTCAGTTTGCTCAGCACATGCTCTAAACATCTGGGTTAGTGAACTTTCACAACCTCATTGACCTATTCGATCGTCCAGCTTAGTACGCTCCATGTAACCTTGATTTTCCTAACATGGCGATTCCACTATACGTGAGCAGGGCTGCGAAGACACGTGTTCAAAAATCTGTAATCTCTTTATATCTACTTTCAATGACCACGCCTCAGCCGTTAAGAGGCATAGAACGGATCAATAGAAACATTGACATATACGGAGTTTATTAGACAATAAGGATCTGATCATACAGTCTTGTGCTCAGATGTCAGGTTATAACAACCGGCAATGAAATGAGATGAATTAGCTTGGCGAGCATCTTTTGATGAGATCCTTGTGATAATACGGTTCTGAATTGAGACACTACAAGATTTATACTAGAATCGAAGTTAGTAGTGATCCTGATTGAATCTCTTGATGCCTTCTGTTTTCAGATAACCACAAAAATGTAATATAAAACTATAATATGCGATGTTTATCTTGGTAACTAGCAGTGGAATCCAGGACGCGCGTTTCGTCCTATTTGTGACTCGTCAGCTGGATGCATCTGCACCACAGTGAGTGATACTGTCCTTACTGAGACCGGAACCGAGTGCCCATCCCTTCAAATGACAAAGCGTTATTCAGTAGGCCACTTGGCTACGATAGCCACCTCTTTTGTAACGGGTACCAGTTGTTGTTTTGATAATTTGAATTGCTCGACCCCTGTTGGCAGATGGGCTTCTATGCGGATGCTTCAGTACTGTCAGATAATGATGATATGGAGCAGTTCGGCCCTACATAGCAATAGGGAATTACAAGTATCAAAACAGCAACTGATACTCGCTGCGCAAGAGGTGGCTTTCTTACGCCAGTGGCGTGTAGTGGATAATGTTTTGGCGTCTGAGGTAAAGGGTACTAGGTTCGAGTCTCGTTGAAAAAAACAACACACTGCAGTCCAGGTACATCCAGCTGACGAGTCCTAAGTGGAGAGTACCGCGTGCTATGGATTCCACTACAAGTCACCAAGACCAATACAACATAATGAATATTCAGCAGTATCTAGGCATCCGCATAGAAGCCTGTCTGCCAACAGAGGTCGGGCAGTTCGACCGTATATAGCAACGGGAAATTACAAGTATCAAAACAATTATTGAATGTGACTTGTACAACTGTTTTCCCTTTCCTAATCACTATACTATTTCTTGTTAATTTTTGCATACGTATTCTGACGTTTGTGTAACTCTTTAATGGGACAATTAGTTTGTATACGATTAAGTACATCGAATTTGATTGACTTCAGGATAGTTCCTATGATGGTTGATCGACACTTAGAAAACTGTTAAGAAGTTGGTAGCAATGAGTAGTTGTTTTGTTTTATCTTGGAACCTTCTGAATATACACACCTACAAAATTGTTTAGACTTGAACCTGTGTATCTGTTTTGCAGTAGTCATCTCTCTGTAATGATAATGTAATGTTAATAATAATAACAGTGTAAATGCAGGTAGGCTTCATGTTAATCAAATCCTTTAATGATAACCATTCACTGTAAGGTTTGCGAAATAGACAGATTTGTATTATTGGTAGAAAAATTCTAATTACTCCTTTGTTGATATGAATTCTAGCGACTTTTTAATCGATAGGCAACAGAGTATTCTTCACAGTTACGCTTAGTTAAAAGTATGTAAGATAATGAGGAAGTTAGCGATAAGCTTTTCAACACTATACAGTAATTTAGGCTTATATATCTAGTGACTTATTAGTATGATATTTTATCCGATAATTATTGTGAACTTCTGTTTTTCTTATATCTATCTCTAGGCTGCATTATACTTTGCCGCTGAAGCTAGCCAGTATTGGACGCCTTCTGTTATTCGCTCACGTACTAATCTACCTTACTTTCAATCTCATCAACAATTATCCATACATGGTGGTGAAGATAAATCACTTAATAGTGCACTTCACCTTTTAACTGGTATCTGCGTTTTCTTAGCACGAATTACACGTTGCTTCTGGAGAGGTTCAATGTTTTATGATGCAACTAGTATTTGTTCCAAATGTGATGTAAGATCTTCATCAAATATTAATAATAACAACAATGGTGGATTAAGATCATGGGTTCGAAATTTAATTCAAACATTATCAACTGCTTCAACATTTGGTGGTAATGGGAAGTCGACTACATCAACTGAACAGATTGTAAGTAATAAAAAAAATTCCTATATTATGTCAATTTTCTTGAATTACTTACTCTTTCTTGTAAAGCTATTTTCAAGGAATTTAAGGGTAACAGTGAGTTTGATTGTTTGACAATAATTATTTACTAATAAGTAGGGTTAAAGTCTTTAAGCTCTTTTAAAATCTTACTCAGGAACTTAAGATATCGTTGTTGAGGCCTTCAAACTATTATCTTATAAAACAATGAATGGTTTTACATGTCTATAGATTTCTGGTCTAATGGATAACATTTTGGCGTTTGATGTGTGATAGGTAAATAATTCTAGTTTAGTAGGAAAAACACCACTCACTGAGCACTAGGTACATCCTGGTGATGAGTCCCAAATACAGCGAAACGCCTTCACTTTCAATTTTGACCACTTACAGTGCATAGTGACTTTTATCTTATTCTCACTCATTTATTATGAAACAGATTAATCAACAGTGCTAACTTTTCATATAGTAAATTACTAGATAACTATCTCAGACAACCTTGCAGAAGTCTACCTTTGTTTGGAGTTATGCTTGTGTTTTCATGTGTGTACTGTAGATGATTACCCAAGAGGAATGAAGCTGTTCTCTTGGATATTCGAAGTGGTTAAACCTTAAGAAATGAAAATAGGTCAAAGAAAATAATAACTCAGTTCAACTAGTATTCCTAAATGCAAATATATTCGCATCTTCCTATTTTTTACATCTCTATTATTATTATTATTATCATTACTTATCCCTTGGGTTCCTAGTAGGACATAGAGATTCAGTAGCACGTCTCCATTTCACTCTCGTCTCTCCAGTCTTATCAACCTAGCTCCACCACCGCCCACAAACTTTCATTTCTTCCCCACACCATCTCCTCCATGACAACCTCACCTCAGATGCCCAACTCATCGTTTCCCATGTGGATTCCACTCGACAGCCTGACCTGACACGTGATGTCCCCAAACGGTCTTCTCAGTATGTATGTCGAATCTATCTCCACCTTCTACACATTTGTTGGGTGATAGGTTGTTGGTAGATTCGTTGTCAGATAGACAGATAGACAGACAGACAGACAGACAGACAGCCAGAGTTCCTCCTTCCTTATTCTTATTATTCTGCTCATCTGATCTCATCTTCAGTATCGAGTGAGTGTAGACGGCAGCTGTTTATGATGTATGTCTACAGTTGTTTGTTGGAAATGCTGTCGTGACTCGCCTCCAACTCTGTGAACCATCACATAGAAGCACTGACTTCACTTGACGTTAGCGTTGAAAATGCGTATGTTGTTCACGCTTTATGTTGAGTGCAGTGAAGTGAAGTGCAGTACAATGCAGTAGATCTGCACACTGATTATTCGAGATGAATGCAGTAAGGCCTGTCTTGGTGTTTTACCGATCGTGGTTTTGACATCCTGATCTGTGCCACCACCGCCTGTAGTTGAAACGATGGTATCCTGCTTACGTAGGTAGTTAGAGGAAAGAGACAACTTCCTTCAGATTTCTGCCGTTGATGTTAATCGGTGCTTGTTGTTGTTACTAGTGGTGGTGGTGGTTGGGTATCTTCATCACCTGTGTCTTCTCTACGTTCACTTGAAGGAAGTCTCGTTTTCCTTCGCTACCTCGCCTCGCCTCATCTCGCCTCACCTCTTCTGTCAACTTGTTAGTTTTCGCGTGTAGATCTTCGAGTTTGTGCGACAAGACATTAGGGATAAATTATCATCATCATCATCATCATCATCGGTGTCGAAACCCAAATCTCTTTCTAGGGTCTTTTGATTGGTCCAGCAACGTATGCCCATCTTCTCGCTCCTCACAGTTTGTTGTATGATAATTTTTACATTCGATTAAAATATACAAGGTTTTGGTAGCCAGGATGATATTGTAGTCTGATAAATTTCTGCATTATGGTATGTGTTATCTATAAGATAACATAGGTTATTAACGTTTTAGGACATATGTTTTTTAGCTTTTGTAACCGATATTATATAAACTGTTCATGGTTCTTGAGATATGTTTATGTATACATTTTTCTTCTTATCTGTATTAATCACTAGGTTATTTCTCGTTTGGAAACGTCTGAAATCAGTTGGCTTTTAAGTCAGATCACTTATGTGCAACAGTTTATTCAACGTCAACTTAATGTTCGAGGAGGATGGTTTCGATTATCACCACATCTACTTGGCAGTGGAAATATTCACCTGGAGTCATCTGCAAAGGTTTCAGCACTAAACATACAACAAGCAGCTGATGTTTCTGATGAACACCTAGAAGGAGTTGCACTTCAACGCTTAGTTGAAGAACTCGATCGTTTGTTATCAATGATTAGAGAGATATTAGGATTTTGGGAGATATTAAGTGAGCATGTAGTTCACAAAATTATGAGGTATGTTTAGTGTAACATACCTTTTTTGGAACTTATGTTGTTCGATGTCTACGTCTATGTCTATGCGTCTATACTGGGTGATGAGTGAAGGTGAAATGAAAATTTTAACCACTACTGGATTCGATGGGATTGGGATGAGAAGCCCTGACTAGGCAGCCACTGTGAATACGATCAAGCGGTAGTAACACGTCACGAATTCACGTCATAGTCGGGCAAAACCCTTGGTGATTGAAGTGAAATAGAAGGTATGGTCAGTAGTCGGACCTCCTCGTAGCTCAGTTGGTAAAACATCGGGCCGGAAACCCGGTGGTCGCTGGTTCGAATCCAGCCACGGTCCAAATTTTCGTTTCGCCTTCAATCACCACCCAGTATATCTCAAATAGTTATCTTGTAGACGATTATTTGTCTACTGACCTTCACGTATTATATCTCTGATTGGTTCGTTTTCAACCAATGACTTTACTTCTTCTGCAGGGTTTTTTGTCGAATGTTCAAGTGAAGTCAGCTATTTCCAGTATTGCGATTCACATCTTTTATGCATGTCGTATTAGTCACCTTAATTTGTATTGGTGTCTTGTTTTTGTTTTTTTGTAGACGGTTGAATAGTGAACATCGAGATTTGGCGCTTAAACTAACCGTAGAAACATATGCATCAAGTTTGTTGAACATTCCTTTCACTGGGTCACTAATGAGCGGCGTTCAAGGATCACCAATGACAGATAGTCGGTTGAATAAAAGTCCAGTATCATCTACCATTACTGGTGGCGGTTGTGGCAGTGTTAGTAGTAGTCAACTATCCAATTATACTGGTACAGAAGTGATTGGCGCTTTAATTACTGCGCTTATTGAATATTATCTTGTGGAAACAAGTGAAGAAGTGGAAGACGGTAGCAACAATATCAATGTGGAAACTATAACTTCTCGTCTTCAATCCACTTGTCCGAGTTTGTTTGCAAATGAAGACGCTATGTGTGCTAAAGCTAGTGAATGCCTTATCCAAGTGAGTTTCTCTAAATGACAGTAATAGTAGGTGTGTGTTTATGTGTAGACTTAGTCGCAGGCGGAGATTTGCACACTAAGATGATGAACAAATTACGAACCCTTTATCCTCTTTCTTTGGTTGTGGTCTAGACTGCCACTAGGCTTCAAACCCCCTACAAATTTGTTCTTTATCGTGTCATTTTACTTCCTTTACTCTACTATTACTACTACTTCTGTCTCAGGTATCACACTTTAGCAGGTGTGAGGTGTGTACGTCGAGTGGTGTCCGTCAAGGATGCCCACTCTCTCTATTCTTATTCAATTTTATGGAGGTATCTCTCTTGTCGTCTGACTACACAGATATTAAACTACTCACAGGAGAATTTTTAGTAGACCTAGGATAAACAGATGACGTACTCCCATTAAATGAGTACTCTGACAAGATACAGAGTCTTTTGGACACCTTGAGTGACAAGTTGAAAATGTTTGAGATGCCTTTCTCGTAACAAAGTATTAGATACGAGTGGCAACTGTCTTCTCTCAGAACCTTACACTTCACTGAGTCGCGAAAATCAAAAGACAAAGACCGACGAGTAACTATAAGGAAGGCACTTTCTTTTAGACACCACTTAAGTTGTTTTTCTCAGCATATAAAACCACTAGGTCATGAGTTGGATACTTATTTTGACTAGTCAACTGTACAACTAAATTGTCCAATAAGGTTTTTCTTGACCACACAGTAGCATGAAACAAAGATTGAAATCCAAACTTCTACCTTAGGGGCTGATGACTTAAAGTGTTGATATTGAGGTGTTCTCAACGACTCTTTGTGAATGCTTTGTTCTATAGCGTACAAGTAAAAGATCTATTTACTTATTCCTTGGTCGGCGAAACCTCTTCACCTGGTTTCTAGTTAGTTCGCTATTTATTTCACCTATTTTTCTCACCTTATAACTTTCTATGACTTTTAATCACAGTCCCCTCTGTTTCTCTTTCACTGTGGTGACTTTGACTTTGATGTGATGAGGGGGGTGGGGACTTGGACTGTTTGGCAGGTCTCATGTTGACAGTGACTGACTGTATCTTTTGCATCATTATTCTGTGTTGTTTTAGAAAGATACTTGCAGATGTTGAAAATTATTCAAACTCTTATTTTCCTATCATATTTATTCATTTTTTTTTTACCAGGCCTCTATAATTCGAACGAATATTTTATCTTCATTAAGCAATCCAGAGTGCTTTAATGATATCCAGTATGATAATCATCTTGTCGACAGAGCTAATATTGAGCAATTAATTTCTGAAGCTATCTTATTATATATTGAAGCTGGACCCAGTATCAATTTAGACAATGCAGTTCATCGTTTAGAAAATTGTGGTGCATGGCGTGGAGCAGTTAAACTTTGCTTATCCGTTGCACGTTCACGTGACCCATCAAATATAGCTGTGGATTGTTTAAAACGAGGTCGCCGCCCGTCATCAGATCCTTTAATCAATGTTGATCCTAAATACACTAACCGATCTAAAAGTAATCGTCTTTATGCTTTATCTGAACTGGCAGCTACAGAAGGCAGGTTAGTTAATGATATGACTTCATGATGTTTTATAGTTTCTTATATGAAATTATTATTATTATTAGTCCCTTGGGTTCCTAGTGGAACATAAGGCTTCAGTAGCACGTCTCCATTCCACTCTGTTCTCTGAGATCTTTTGAACCTGGTTCCACGACAGCCCAGAAGCTCTCATTTCCTCCTCATACGATCTCCTCCATGTCACCCTCAGATGGGACGTCCAACTCGTCGCTTCCCATGGGGATTCCACTCGAGCAACTGGCCTGACGCGTGATGTCCTCCGTCGGCCTTCTCAGTGCATGCCCAATCCATCTCCACTTCCTTCCACTGCATATTTGTTGCGTGATAGGTTGTTGGTTGGTTATTCACCAGCCAGAGCTCCTTGTTGCTCATTCTTATTATTCTGGCCATCTGATCTTCAGTAGCGAGCGTAAGTGGCAGTTGTTGATGAATGTCTGTAGTTTGTTGGAAATCCTTTTCGTAACGCGCCAAGTCTGTGAACCATACAGAAGCACTGACTTGACATTGCTGTTGGTGTTGAAAATCCGTATGTTGTTCCACATACTGAGTGTAGTGCAGAAGATCTCCACACTGGTTTCAGGCTAATGAACGCCTGTCTTGCTTTTCCGATTCTGACTTTGACGTCCTCGTCCGTCCCGCCTGTAGTTGTAACAGTGCTTCCTAGATAAGTGAAGGAGGTTACTTCCTTTAAGTTTCTCCCGTTGATGGTGACTGGAGTTTGCTGTTGTTGTTGATGGTGGTGGTGCGGTATCTTCATCACCTCTGTCTTCTCTATATTCACCTGAAGTGCCGTCTTCGCTGCCTCTTCTATCAACTTGTTAGTTTTTGCCTGTAGATCTTCAAGTTTATGTGACATCAGGCGCAAGTCATCGGCGGCGAAATCCAAGTCTTCTAGGTTATTTCTCTGACATTTGACTGATGTAGGTCTTATGTGACAATGAGAAGATATTTTAATTCCTAGAAAAATCGGATGATTACTCATAACTCTGACCTGTTTTTTAAACCATGACTGAACACAATCCGTAGAAAAGCTGTAATGATTTAATTATCTACACTTTCGGAATATTTGTGATATCTGATTGAACAGCAGAGTAAACTCTGTTAACGTGACACATAAGGATTTCACTAAAAAGAGACTATTAATTGGATGCTATTTCATATCGTTAGCAGCCCAGGTGATTAAGGGGAAGTGTGTTGTAACTGCCTATAACCAGTTCATAAAATGTCTGAATGTTCAATTTTGGTAAGATTAAAGTGAAGATGTAGTTTCATACCTACCTACTTACCTGATTACTTGTTTATATGCTAGGAGAGAATAGGGGTGGGCAAGAGTTTACTAATAATTCACATCAGATGAGAATTTACGTTTTACTGTAGCTACGTATAGTGTCTATTACTTGAAATACTCTGGAACTTGTACACTATTTTGTTAATAAAGGTAGAAAATATTATCTCCGAAGGATATATAGTGACATCACTTGACCTGATTATAAGTAATATAGCTAGGAGTTTCAGTTTCTAGTTATCTATTTTGGTGATTCTCTCGTGGATCCTACACTAACATATTCAATTCTTACTTCAAATAACATTGCATATTCAGGGCTAAGTGTTTGGTTGTCATGTGTAACACATATCTCAGCCGCTTCAATGGTTGAATGCAAATTATGCCACCAGTTGACCTATCGGGCGTGTTAGAGCCTATGGTAAGAGGTCCAGAGAGCTGTACTAGTCTAGCGATGTCCGTCAAGGGTGCCCACTGTCTCCATTCTTATTCAGTTTTATCATAGACATTCTTATGGAGGTCTTCCTCTCGTCACCTGACTACATAAAGGTTGACGTGATCTCAGGAGAATTTTCGTTAGACCTAGAATACGCAGATGACATACTCCTGTTAGGTGAAGACACTGAAAAAATGCAGAGTCTTTAGAACACTTTGAGTGGCAATTTAAGAATCTTTGGGGTGCATTTCTCACCACTCAAATGCAAATCGTTGCTCGAGAATCGGTCTCCAACGGTTCCCCACCGCGGCTAATAATAGAGAGTGTAGAGGTTGAATGTGTCAACCACTCTACTTACCTGGGAAATAGGACCAACCCTGGGAGCTGGTTCAGTCGCCGGTGAAATCTTTGCACGAATACAAAAGGCTCGACTGGCTTTCGCCAACTTGCGCCACTTGTGGTGCCGTTGTGATATCCGATTGTCCATTAAGGGTCGCGTGTACTGCACAGCAGTCCGGTCTGTTCTACTGTGTGGCTGTGACACATAGCCATTGAGGGTGGAAGACATGAGAAGGCTTCATATGTTTGACCACCGTTGCCTTCGTAGTATCCCTGGGGTGGGGGTGAGGGGTCATGGGTGCACACTGCTGAGGAGTCCCATTGTGGGACGAAGCAACTGTCCAGTGCTCCCAGGTTTCTAATGTTCCTCCAGTTGATACCAGTCCATGATGAATTCCAATCTAAAATATATTTCTATTTGATGGTGTTGTGTTGTCTGATCTTTCATTGTCATTCTAGACAACATCATTTGAGCAAACTTCTTTCTGAAATACATGTTTTGCTTTAGACCATGTTCAAAAGAGAGTTGCAGACTTATGATGTATGCTGATGACCAAAAATATTTTCTTTTTGAATTTCTAGATATGATGCTTATCGCCGTTTAACTATCTGCTTAGATCATCTACTACATGCAGCTCAGATTAAATCAGATGCAACCTTTATTATAGAATCAAATATTGTTAATACTGATTCACAGTTGAATATTACCAATGTAGTCGGTATCGATCGTGATGATATTGAAAATAATCTAAATTATGAAGATGGTGAATCATTATCTTCAATGTTTATTCTAGATGAACTTGAATCATCACCTCAATCTGCTCGATTATTATTACAAAGGGTTTTAACGGATATCAGTGGATCAGATGATATACTGGCGCATTTTGAAGTAATTTCTGATTAATGTTTCCTTTTTTTTTTTCTTCTTTTCTAACTTTAATTCTTGTTAGTATATCCTTTTATAGTACCATTAAGTAAATTCGTAATTTATAGCAGGCGAAAACTTGTTACTAAGAGTAAGGCGAACATCAGGTGTAATAACTTCATAAAAGTAGTGCTTGGAGATAATGTATTGACTTAGTAATTTTAATAAACTTTTAATTTAGTTGTCATATCTATCTCTAAGTGAAATTTTTCACCATCATTATGCTTCTTTTACTCTGTTTTTCAACTGCATATTTGTTGAGAAACTTTGTAAATTTCTGGCTGATATCAATTCAGAGGGATATATTTGAAATCATGGGTTATTGGGTAGTTATTATTATTATTACTATTAGTCCCTTGGGTTCCTAATGGAACATAGGGCTTCAGTAGCACGTCTCCATTCCACTCTGTTCTCTGAGATCTTTTCAACCTGGTTCCACGACAGCCCAGAAGCTCTCATTTCCTCCTCACACGATCTCCTCCATGTCACCCTCAGATGGGACGTCCAACTCGTCGCTTCCCATGGGGATTCCACTCGAGTGACTGGCCTGACTTGTGATGTCCCCAGTCGGCCTTCTCAGTGCATGCCCAATCCATCTCCACTTCCTTCTACTGCATATTTGTTGGGTGATAGGTTGTTGGTTGGTTATTCACCAGCCAGAGCTCCTTGTTGCTCATTCTTATTATTCTGGCCATCTGATCTTCAGTAGCGAGCGTAAGTGGCAGTTGTTGATGAATGTCTGTAGTTTGTTGGAAATCCTTTTCGTAACGCGCCAAGTCTGTGAACCATACAGAAGCACTGACTTGACATTGCTGTTGGTGTTGAAAATCCGTATGTTGTTCCACATGCTGAGTGTAGTGCAGAAGATCTCCACACTGGTTTCAGGCTAATGAACGCCTGTATTGGGTAGTTATGTCTTCATATTATTCAAACTTTTCGGTAATATTCATTGAAAACCTCTCAGGAATTCGATCATAACCATCAAGTTACGCTAATCTTACTATAATAATAATAATAATAATAATAATAATAATAATAATAATAATAATAATAATAATAATAATAATAATAATAATAGTCCATTTATCCCAAACAGTAAGTATGACAGTATGGAATTCTCAGCATGTCTTTCAGACGAAACGGTTATTGCATCTGCATGATGGCAATAATAACAGTATTCAGGGCAATAATATGAAATAGCCAGCTGGTTCCGGATGGGTATCCAGTCCATAATGAAGAATTAACAAAAATGCAAGTATAATTTTTGTAATGTCAGTTCATTCAGACAATACAAAAATCTGTAGCTCAAGCTAAGCATCCAATGGATAGAAAGAAATATGATGTATTTTTCGTACCGAAAAGTCTACTTCCGTGTAACGTAACATTTTTTTCTCTGCTTTGTTATTGACTTGCGAAACAGAGAGTTGAAAACAGTTTAAAAATGTGCAAGAGTATATGATACGTTCAAAGGGTGTTTTTTTAAATGATTAAAACAAATTGAAAGGAAAGAATTTAATGAGAGCTAAGAGAAGTTGGAAATATGGACCATTGGATTCTGACCTAGTGGCTCAATAGTAACGCGCTGGCCGCGGAACCTGTAGGTCGCGGGTCCGTTCCCTTGCGAGGTCGTGAGTGCGTACTGCTGAGGAGTCCTATACTAGGACAAAACAGCCAGATGTCCAGTGCTCCCAGGTTTCCTTTGTTTGTCCAACTGATATCAGTCTATGATGAATAACTATTTGAAATATTTCCAAATCTCTACAACTCCCTCAAAATTCAATTAATGAGAAATGTTCAATGGATAAATTTTGATGGTCCAATGTTGAAGAAGGCCACCGTTATGGGATTGTAATCTAATGATCTGAAATTCTTGATTTCTCTTGACATCGGGACTAAGGTCAAGTTGATTGTCATTGAAGAAGATGTAGACTGAATAATTAGTCAATTCACTTCATCAATGCTTTGAATATTTCGAATAATTTAACCTTATATCTATTTATATGTTAATTTGTACTGTGAGATGTTGACAATTAACCTGTAAGAAATTCTTTTTGACTTTACGTTTCATGCTTGTTATCACTCTACAGCTGAATACTTCTATAATCATAAAGAAACTATTGTTTCCTCGATGATTTGAAGTTTAGTTAGAGATTTTACCAGGTCAAAATTGATCTCTGTAAAGTTGTATTTGTGGATACAAATTGATGACGCCGGTTCAACTCCCCGATAGAACATCATTTTCTTCATGATTGTAGATACACTTTACTGTTGATTACAACTAAGCATGAAACTTAGGTTAAATAGAGAGTTTCCTACTGACTGACTCCTAATATCGAGAGATTTCAGTCAGTAGTAAGCGCTAAGGACCAGACAGGTAACATGATTTATCTACTGGTAATCAGTTGTTGTATATTTACTTATCCTTATAATATGTAACCGTTTTTTTTTAAAAACATGAATCTTTTAATATTATTCTCAATCAAGATCTTCAATTGGCTGTTATCTCATGGTCTTACTGATACAGTCATGTCGTTAAATTCACCAAATCTTGAAGCATATCTACGTTCTCGTCTACGTCAGACACCAGATGATGCAGGTCTACGATGTCTTCTATGGCGTCAATTGGAGCGACGTGGTGCACGTTTAGAAGCAGCTCAAGTTTTGGAACATTTAGCTGTCACACCATGTCGTCAGTTAACTTTAGAGGATAGATTGGATTTTGCTGCAAGAGCTATTGTCGCCGTTAAAGCTCTCCCAAGTACATTATTACATTCATTTTATAATGTTTCATCATCTTTTAAACTTAATCTTCAAGTTTTTGATTCTTAAAATTAGTTATTACACGTTGCTAATGATCATCGATATACAATTGTCAGTATGACTGAGATAGGCGGTTTAGCATACTCAGCCAATACCCATATAAGGTGACTCACATTCATATATAGATATGTGCATGGGGGTTTATTACATTAAATGATTGCTTGGTAAGTGGAAGGTTTTTTGATCAGTTAAATCGCTTGGTGAAAGCCGAATACCTCGATCAATAAGTCATTCTCCATCATGCTAAATCATAAACTTGCAGTACATTGAATAAATGATTCTTATTGTAAAGGAGTAGGTGTGTCTCATTAGGGAGATGACTGTCAAGCAAGTGGATCATGGGTTGGGGCCCCGTTCCACCTACCAAGGTTTAGACAGCCAGGTAGTATCATTAGTCCTCATACAATAGGCGTAGTGGATTGCGTATTGCACGATTGTGCACAACGGGGGCTGAATGCGTTTCGTTCGTTTATTCCTTGTCATGGGAATTTAGTATATCATTACTGACTGATGATTTACGCGTCATAAATATATAAAGTTGAACTACAACTCTGTAGATTGACAACACAATTGACGACTGCTTTGCTAGATAGACAGGTAAAAGTAGGTGGAGTAGGTTTCATATCCACTGGTTGGACGTTGAGTATATGTAGATTAGTGAATAATAATGTCGATCCTTTGATATATGTATGCATCACAAGTAATTGTATTCACAGTATAACATTGATTTCTTTTATCCTGCTTATATTATTGAAAACGTATAGTGTTAGCTGAGCATTCGGAAATTGATGGTATAGAAATTTTATCGGTAGACTTTATTCTGGCATCGACCAATATACTTACTTTCACAGTTTGCTCATCATTTTAGATGGATTAAATCTCTCTGTGTGTGTATAGTGTAATGTTGCATTGAATACCTAACAAAAAGAAAAAAAATAAGCCTTTTCTAAAAAAAGTTCAGTTCTGCTCTGCAGAGTTTCATGGCACACAGATGTTTGTTACTGTTACACTGACTCTCGTCCATAATGTTTGGATTCATCATCATAACAGCGAGTTTTATGCCCTATGAATTCAGTAAAATAAGAATAAAGTTGTAAAACTTTCTTTATGATAGATAGAAAACAAGGAGTATCAAATAAAGTGTGCTATATTACATTGCCTTGATTGACAGACTTAAGTAAGTAAGTACATCACCTTATTGAAAGCTCTCTACTCGCACACTTGTGGGCATGTTAGAACCCAAGGCGAGTTGTCCAAGGAGCTATACTTATCGAGTGGTGTCCATCAAGGATGCCCACTGTCTCCATCCTTATTCAATTTTATCATAGATATTTTTATGGAGGTCCCCCTCTCGTCACCAGGTTACACAGACGTTGATTTAATCACAGAAGAATTTTTGTTAGACCTAGAATATGCAGATGACATAGTCCTGTTAAGTGAAGACGCTGACAAGATGCAGAGTCTTCTGAACACATTGAGTGGTAATTTGAGAATGTTTGGGATGCATTTCTCACCACCCAAATACAAATTGTTACTCCAAGATTGGTCTTCAATGGTGCTCCACCGCGGCTAACAATAGAGATTGAAGTGGTTGATTGTGTCAACCACTTCACTTACCTGGGAAGTAGGATCTGCCCCAGTGGGCCAGTTGTCGAGGAAATCTTTGCACGAATACAAAAGGCTCGACTGGCTTTCGTCAACTTACACCACCTATGGGGCCGCCGTAATATCGAATTGTCTATTAAGGGTCGCGTGTACTGCACAGCAGTCCGGTCTGTCTTACTGTATGGCTATGAAACATGACCATTGAAGGTGGAAGACATGAGAAGGCTTCATATGTTTGACTACCGTTGGCTTTGTAGCATAGATCGTATTGCATGGTGTCACCACGTGAGTAATGCAGAAGTCAGGCTCAGGTGTAGAGTGTTAGGGAGAAGAGGTAAGTCGGTTGACGAGGTTATGAACCTTCATCGATTGAGATGGTTGGGACATGTACTACATATGCCTTGTCACACAATGTTAGCCGTAGTGGATGCAGGCTGGTAAAAAAGGCTCGAGGTGGCGAGACTGAGGCATGGTATCAATGTATAAAGTGTTTGACTGTTGGTTTGAATCATGTGGGGCGATGCAGACTAGGTGGTTTGGTTTTGCGGGACAAGAGAAACCAGTGGTTAGAGACTGTATGTGAAATGGCTGAGAACCGATGTCAGTTGGGGGCAGATGTATACATACATTATCCTCATCTTAATGATACTATGCCGAATGTCACCATTTTCTGATTCCTCCTTTCTGTCTTTGAGGAGTTGATATTTCTTTTGACTGCATTCTCTTATCTTCATCTTGTGCCTCACTGCCTTTTTACTTGATGTAGTGGTATGAGTTGTGGAAGTGTTAGGGTTATGCAGTAATGCCTGGTACTATGTTGATATTGATGATGATGATGATGACAGACTTAAGTCAGTATGACGCTCACGTCTGGTGGTCCTTACGATATGATGAATTGAATCAGTTGATACTGCATTAGAAATACAATCTTTTTCAATGAGTGTTTATGAAATTGACTACTAATTATATTACTGTTAGTATGTGGATATACATGAACTCACGATCCTTCTTAGGTCCTGGGCTGATTACTCCTAACCGTCATACATTAATTCACACTAGAGACACAGTTATGTATTTGCAGATAAATTTTCTCAACACCATTCCTTATAATAATAAAAGCAATAATGACATTGTCGATTGAACACACTTCTGATGAATGTATTCCTTTTTCTTTTTTAAGTCTGTTCATTTTTTATCTTCTTGTTATAAAGCTTCTCAACAGGATCTGGATTATTTGAAAGATCTTGAAGCACGTCTAGATTTGGCACAACTACAGCAATTATTATTAAATGAACTGAAACAGTATAAGAAACAGTTAGGTTATCAACAACATCAGCAAAGGAAACAAATTATCGGTTCACCAGGATCATCATCTCCATCACAACGAGGTCATATGTCTGCAGTAACAATATTAGAAGATGAGATTGATGAAGCTCTACTCCAGTTAACACATGGACCATTATTAAGCGTAACTGAAATGTTTACTGATTATGCAGATCGATTTGGACTACATGAATCAAAATTGTGCTTATTATGGGCTAGTGGTTCACAGGTAAATATTTGTTGAGTATTTCTTTTTTATACGTCGTAACCTTAGAAAACTCTTTGAAAGGGAATTGATTGGTTTCTTCAGCTGCTCATCTTCTCGCTCCTCATAGTTGTCTGTTGCGTGATACAGTCCTGTCCAGCTGACCACAACACAGTCAGGAAAATCATCGGTGATAGTAGGTATCAGCCTTGTCTTACTCCTGTCTTCACTTCAAAGGCATCGCTGAGCTTTCCATTGTGAATCACTTGACATGTGGCGTCATGCGGCATATAGTTGTTGAATGAGGTTGATAAAGGTTTGTGACACTAAAACGGTAGTGTTGAAGCAGTTGCCAAATTACTTCTCGGTCGACACCTCGATCGAAGGCCTTTTCAAAGTCAATGAAGTTGAGGTAGAGAGTTGACTGCCATTCTACGCTCTGTTCTATGGTGACGTGTAGCGTAGCGTTGCAATTTGATCCGCACATGATTTGTTTTTCCTGAATTCAGCCAGCCAGCCTGTTCCGGTCGTAATTTTGAATCCAGTACATTGTTTAGTCTCTCCAGGATGATGCGGCCTAATATTTTGCTCACTTTGGGTGGACAGCAGCATGATCCCGTGCCAGTTATTGCAAAAACTTAGGTCGCCCTTCTTTGGGAGTCTGCCGATATGGTAGCCCTTCTTCCAATCAGTTGGCAGGTACCTCTCCTTCCTCCCAAACTTTCTGCAGCAGTGGTGTGAGCATGTCCGCTGTTGTTGCCTTTGTGTGTGTTTTCAGTGCTTCTGGTGGAATTCCATCTAATCCTGCTGCTTTCCTGGGTTTCAGTAGCTTTATTACTTTCAGGACTTCACTTCTGCCTTTGTCGGAGGGTTTATGTTTACTGGTAGTTCTGTGGCTGGGTTGCTGGTGGTATTTCTGGACGAGTTGCAGGTGGTAATGGTGGTGGTGGTGGTCGATTCAAGAGTTTTTTGAAGTGGTCAGCTTACTGTTTTCTTTGTTCCTCTTCTTTCTTAGCTAGGTTTCCTTCACTATCTGTCATTGGTTTCATCTGTGTTGATTGCTTCCCTCACAGATAGCACTAACCTAGTTATTTGATTTCGTGTTAGCAGGTCTCTGTCTCTCCTACCTGTAGCCTCTTCTGCTTCACTTGCCAATGTGTCACAGAAGTGTCTTTTGTCTTTGCGCGCACCCTTCTTCACTTCACTTCACTTCTTTGTTCAGTGTAGTGTTTTATAGGTTGTGTTCGTTTCCTTTATTCGTTGTTCATCCCCTTACTGCACTGGTTCATCTTCTGCTTCTCCTCTCCTCTATCAGCTTCCGTGTGTCCGTTGAGATCCATTCCTTGTCTTGCTTCTTCTTCTTCTTCTTCTTCTTCTTCCTTCCTTCCTTCCTTCCTTCTTAATACGGTTATGCAGGTCTCCTCCCACATCTCTTTCAAAGAGTTCCAGTGTTCTTGCATGCAGGTTTCTTCAGGGATATTGCTCACTATCTCCCATTTGTTCCTGGTGACTGACATGAAGATGTCCTTTTTAGTTTCGTGCTTCAGTTTGTGTTCTGGGTGTTCAACTTGAACTGTGGTCTGTCACCAACTTCTTTGAAGGCATTCAACTTGATTTTGAAGGTAGGTTCCTTGTACTAGATAGTGAGTGGTGTGAACTTACATTTGTTCCTCTTCTTGATTTGATCTTGTGTGTAGTAGGCTGCGTCTCCACTTTCTTGAGATTTAGATGAAGTCGATCTGGTTTTCAGTCTGTCCTGGTTTCTGATGAAATCCATGTCGCCGCCTTGTGTATATCCTTGTGTTTGTTCACACGCCTCCAATCGCCAAATCGTTGAATGCGCAGATGTCTCCAAACAGTTATCCATTTTCATTCATTTCACCAAGGGGTTCTGGACTCATGATGAGTTGTCTTCTTTTGTTGTCGCTCCTAGTTTAGCATTCATGTCACCCTATCCTTTGGAATTTTGATGTCGCCAACTGGAGTGGCAGTGTTGTTTAGTACTGATTGCAGTTTTCTGTAGAATTCCTCCTCTTGATCTACATCATTTGTAGGTGCGTGGCTTAGCATAGTATGATTGTGACTTTCCTTCATTTTGAGTCGAATCTTGCTGTCATAATCCTGTAGGAGGAAATTGGTTCTAACTGCATGAGAGACAGCCCTTGATGCTGTTGGGAACATCATGATAGCCACTCGAAAACTCAGTGTGCTCGTGGTCGTCGTCTGTGTGATAATATCGGAGTAGATTATTGACTCTCCAGTTGACCATTTGGAGAGTCCACTTCTATGCCTTATCTCCTCATCTCTTGCGCAATCTGGGCAGCCTTGTTAGCTTCATACATGGTACGAACATTCCATATTCCCACCCTTACTTTTGCTTTCATCGGGAGAAGACACATCGGCCGACTGGCTTCCCGAAGGCTTTCAACAACAGGCATCATTTCGTCTCTCTTATTCCGGTAAGGAATACGTTTTTTTATGTTTTATATTTTCCCTGTGCTTTGAAGTTTCTGTAGCGGTTGGATTGGTTTCACGGGGTAGGGTTTCTGGCCCTATGCCCAACCTTCCTTCTTTCCCCGAGTTTAGGACCGTCTAGTAACTAGTGAACTAGTTACCTTGGGGAGTACTATCATTAAATGTATTTGCTTAGAATCTATAGCTTGCATGTTATAGTTTTGACGAGGTTGACGGTTCTAACTACTAGTTTGTCGTGGTTGCCTCACTTAGTTATGATAATCACTCATCGTAGTTAGGTGGATCTATTGAAGAACAGTAAGGCTAAAAAGCAACTCATCTCAAACGATGAAGTTGACCTGAAGATTGTACCATGATAATAGCATCAGTATGGCGATTTTCAAAGATATCTGGATCTTAAACAGTGTCACATTCCTACTTTTCAAGGAGGTGCCATAAAATCTCAGTTACATAGCGTTAGAATATGTCTTGTATCTTCAACTTTCAACCAATAAGTCATAGGTTTGCGGCAGTCAGGTAGTATCATCAGCCGTCACACAATAGGTACGGCTCATTGCCTACTTTTCGAATGTTGATAAGATTGTCGCAGTGGATATCATATCATTCATTCATCTATCTTTAAGACGAGATTGACAATAATGGATACAGCATTGTCGTTTTATCTTTGTAAAAATATATTTCAAAAGCAATATTTCCTAAACATGCTAGGATGTTGATTGTATTGTGTTCTTTAAGCTGGATTGTTTAGTTGTGGAGCTTTCATCGTCTTGTTATACAACTTCATACTGAAGTTAGTACTGATGTCGTCTAGCAAGACGATGTGGAAGCTGCACGATTAAACAACCCAGCTCAAAGAACACAATACTACCAAGATCATCCACTTGAGCTACACGTATTCTCCACCATGCTAGGATCGTAATATTAAAATATATTCCTGTAATAATAATAATAAATTATCATTTCGACTATTTGCCATGGTTTGGCAGAATTGTGCATTGATAGTCGGAGATGATTGGAAGTGGGATAAAAATATGGTCACCAGTCTAGTCTTTTAACTCATTTGGTAGAGCATTGGGTAGGAAACCTCAGTGATAACTAGTTCAAATGCTGCCGTATTCAAAGTTTTTATTATTATTTTCCTTTCAATCATTACCCAGTAGAATAATGAAGTAGAGTTCAGCACTGAGTTTTTTTTTCAATGATATATTCATAACATTTATGGTATCAATAATGTAGATTCTCCTTTTAATTCTCTGACTATCTGGTATGCTAATGATGGGTAGTGGCTAGCAGTAGAATCCAGGATGCGTATTTTGTCCTTTTTGGGACATGTCAGCTGGATGTACCTGCCTCGGGAGCTATCGCTTCAAACGCGAGAGCGTTATCCACTACATCACCGAGCCACAACAGCTACTTCTTGTGCGACGGGTATAGTTTTAGTGTTATCGCTTGTATTACACCGTCGTTGATTAGACCGAATTGATCAGTCGCTGTTGGCATTACTATACATAATTAAAACACAGGCAATATTGAGGCATCCGTACAGTAGCCAATATGCTAACAGAGATTGATCAATTCGGTCTAATCAACGACGGTGTTATACAAGTTATAACAGTATCTGGTACGCCTTGTATTCATTGAATCATAAACACAGAATATTTATTCGCTTCCAACTAAAGTATATGAGAGTTGTCTAGTATTATTGATTAATTTCGCTAAATATTTTTATATTTTTCATAACTGTGAGCCAATGTTCTTTAATCAAATAAAAAGGTTTCTACACGAAATTTAAATATGAGTTATTTGATTGGTTTGTGACTCTTATTCAGCGTAAACAGCTTTTAAATATATCAGCAATGGATATTACTAATTAGTTCATGTAAACACTACGTGAAGACGCTGACAAGACGCAGAAGCTTCTGAACACTTTGAGTGGTAATTTGAGAATGTTTGGGATGCATTTCTCACCACCCAAATACAAATTGTTACTCCAAGATTGGTCTTCAATGGTGCCCCACCGCGTCTAACAGTAGAGAGTGAAGTGGTTGATTGTGTCAACCACTTCACTTACCTGGGAAGTAGGATCTGCCCCAGTGGGTCAGTTGTCGAGGAAATCTTTGCACGAATACAAAAGGCTCGACTGGCTTTCGTCAACTTACACCACCTATGGGGCCGCCGTAATATCGAATTGTCTATTAAGGGTCGCGTGTACTGCACAGCAGTCCGGTCTGTCCTACTGTATGACTGTGAAACATGACGATTGAGGGTGGAAGACATGAGAAGGCTTCATATGTTTGACTACCGTTGGCTTTGTAGTATAGACCGTATTGCATGGTGTCACCACGTGAGTAATGCAGAAGTCAGGCTCAGGTGTAGAGTGTTAGGGAGAAGAGGTAAGTCGGTTGACGAGGTTATGAACCTTCATCGATTGAGATGGTTGGGACACGTACTTCATATGCCTTGTCACACAGTGTTAGCCGTAGTAGATGCAGGCTGGTAAAAAAGGCTCGGGGTGGTGAGACTGAGACATGGGATCAATGTATAAAGTGTTTGACTGTTGGTTTGAATCATGTGGGGCGATGCAGACTAGGTGGTTTGGTTTTGCGGGACAAGAGAAACCAGTGGTTAGAGACTGTATGTGAAATGGCTGAGAACCGATGTCAGTTGGGGGCAGATGTATACATACATTATCCTCATCTTAATGATACTATGCCGAATGTCACCATTTTCTGATTCCTCCTTTCTGTCTTTGAGGAGTTGATATTTCTTTTGACTGCATTCTCTTATCTTCATCTTGTGCCTCACTGCCTTTTTACTTGATGTAGTGGTATGAGTTGTGGGAAGTGTTAGGGTTATGCAGTAATGCCTGGTCCTATGTTGATATTGATTGAAGTATAATTGACAGCTTTGCTTGTCGTCCCAATTACCTATGGTTATTGCAGAATTTGACTGTTGCTTTGCTACATATCATTCAGCCGGTGTCATACTTTGCATATTGATTTGGGGGGTAGGGGGTGGTGTTTTGATATAATTCAGAAATTTACAGCTGTGGCTCATTCATCGTCTTAGTTACTCAATTGTAGCTTAATGGATAGTGACTTCGAACATCATCATTACACCTATCTGAGTTTCAACAGCTAGGTTACACATTTCTAATGATCAGAAATTACGTGTGATTTATAGATTATTGCAAGAATTTAAACATGTTTACTGAATTCATTAGGTTTTTAGATGTTTAACCTACTCACATTTGACAGTCTTAATTTATTCAGTATAATCGTATAATGAGAGCGTAAGTTTTGCTTATCATTGTGGAGTCGTATATTGTGAAAATTTATTAGTCCAATTTTCTGTATGTTACACTCAATATGTAATATGTATATCATATCAGATATGCCTTGCTATCGAGTGCCAAGATGCATATCCAGGTCTTCCTACTGATTACTTTCATCCAACTAACATATAGTAATTCTACGTATCACTAAAGTAAAACTCTTCAACCAATTTATATCATCTGGTTAATTTTTTTCTCTATCTCCTTCCGTAGGATTCTGCTTTGATTAAAGCTATATGGCGTGATCTCTTGCGTAGAATTCTTACCCAATCATCAGGAGTTCTCTACAGTCCATTGAAACGTTCTTCATCATTTAGTCCATACAGTTATAAACAAGGTGATAGTAAAAGTATCCGCTCTACACAACAGTTAATCGAGTTAACTCTACAAGATTGTTTATCACGTTTTGGAAAACGGTTTCTTAATGATCTTAATTCAAATTATATTCGTTGTTCTGTCTATTTTCCTTTAAGTGAGTTTTATGTACTAATAATCCGTTTGTTGTTATTTCGTAAAAAACATAATGCATAGTTTTTTTTGTTGTCCAAAAACGTCATGAAATAATTTACTATGAAACAAAATCACTAATATGAAACCTCTAACACTGATCTGCTAATTTTGCTAGTCGATTCAGTGCTTTGAACACTCATTGGCTATACTAGTTGTTTGGGACCCTCGGTACACCGTAAAGTGATGCTTGCATCAGTATAGCCTGACCAACAATATCTGTAGAATAATATAGGCTGTTGTTACTACTCAAAACTATTAGCAATCCACTAAGCTTTTTTCTTTTCTTTCCAGAGATGTTGGCTAAGTGGTTTACAACAACAACTTATTGATATTCACAGTTTGTTTATAATAAGGAAGTATCAACATGAATCATTTCACTAGTCATGATTAGACAATGATACTGTCAAAATTCAGTTTTTTGATCACATTAAGGATTAAAGTTATAAACTATTTTTTTCTATCGACTTGGGAAGTTGTATCAACTCGAGTAGATTGATTACATACTAAATCTCAGCTTGAATATAAAGATCTGTTTAGGATTCACCATTTCATATGACTTTTGGAGCTGGCAAGAAATTTAACTATATAATAAAGGAAGAGTATACCGCTTAGCAGTTAGCTCTATCTTAGTATACAGTTATGAGATACTGATACTTTGAGAATAGAAAATACGTAAAGATTACAGATGTCTTTTTGGTATGGTGAAATCACTATGTGTGAGTTATGGTAAAGTACACTAGGCAAGGAAGGTATGTCAATTTTTGAGGTTTAGATTTTTCGCCAACTGAATTACCCTGAACCATGTGTTAAGCATTCTGAGTCGCTGCCTACTTTGATGCAAAATGTCAGTCTAAACAAGATTAGGTTGGGAAGAGCCTGAGAATGATAAGACAAAGAAGTGGTCATCAGTCACTGAGTACTTAAACCACTGGTCTAAATTGTAGTTAGCCTAACTAGGGTTTCTTAGGTAATAGGAATCAGTGTTTTAAAGAGTCTAAAAATTGGTCACAATGTGTTGCGGATGTATTCATTTTTTGAAATTATCGAAGAGTGACTTTAAAGGTCATCCTATTTTTTGTCCTTTGGGTTCCTAGTCGAACATACGGATTCAGTAGCACGTCATCATTTCACTCTCTTCTCTCCAGTCTTTTCAACCTCTCTCCACGACTGAATAGAAGCTTTCATTTCTTCCTCACACGATCTCCTCCATGTCACCCTCAGCTGGGACGCTCAACACATAGTTTCTCATGAGGGTTCTACTCGAGGGGCTGGATATCCCCAAGTAAAAGACCATCCTAGCAACTTCTAAATTAACCAATCAAATTTCAGAATTTCGACTGGGAAGGTAGTTTTTTTATAGATTAGAGGAACGTAATTGATTATTTCAGCAGTTGCTAGAGTATCCTTAAAAGTCTCTCTTATCGAAAGCTCAAACATTTTGAGCATGCACTTTGGTATACAACTTTTTCGATTCACTTGTTCTTTACATGATGCTGTGAATTGTGGCAACTTAGGGTGAGTCACTTCCGAGTCAGGTGGACACAATCACGTTTAGCTGTATATCGAGATACATCACCTCATTATTTAGCAAAGCTTAGAAATCGAAAATCCACAATGGTCGGTTTCGTTATCGAAGTTGACTTCTCCCAAATCAGATTTCCTTTTTCTTCATACTTCTTGTAAAAGCTAATTAGTATTTCACTTTTGCTAACATTAGACCTTATTATCATTATTGAAGGTTTAGAGGATGTCACACTGCTTTGCATTTTCGTATCATTAGTCTGATATCGAAATTAGTTTTCAAGAAGTTCTATGATTAGAAGTCGCATCTCACGCATAAACTTATTGTCAACAACTCGCTTATCTGAATTCTGTTACTGGTTGTGGTGTTTGGCGTTATGTAGTTCGAGTTTTCCAGAGAGCATGAGCGTCAAGAATGAAGCAGATAAACATCTAGTTGAATAATGCCTCCGACTTAATACAGTCCAGTTTTCCAGATTTTCCGTCAAACGATTTAACACCGAGCTTAAAATGCTTGTAAATGCTGGTTTGTTTGTCAACTGATGAGGTCAAAAACTTTATGAATAGAATATGCATTACCTCCTATTTTGCCGAAATTTCACAAAATACTTTCTCATTGTTCATCAACTACCAGTCGAATAATTCACTGCTTTGATTTTTGTTATTATTTGTCCTTTGGGTTCCTAGTAGAACATAGGGATTCAGCAGCACGTCTCCATTTCACTCTCTTCTCTCCAGTCTTTTCAACCTGGCTCCACCGCTGCCCTCAAACTTTCATTTCTTCCTCACATGATCTCCATATCATCCTCAGCTGGGATACCCAACTCATCGTTTCCCATGTGGATTCCACTCGACAGCCTGACCTGACACGTGATGTCCCCAAACGGTCTTCTCAGTATGTATGTCCAATTCAATCCAATCGATCTCCACTTTCTTCCACACATTTGTTGGGTGATAGGTTGTTGGTAGATTCGTTGTCAGACAGCCAGCCAGAGTTCCTCCTTCCTTATTCTCATTATTCTGCTCATCTGATCTCATCTTCAGTATCGAGTGAGTGTAGACGGCAGCTGTTTATGATGTATGTCTGCAGTTGTTTGTTGGAAATGCTGTCGTGACTCGCCGCCAACTCTGTGAACCATCACATAGAAGCACTGACTTCACTTGACGTTAGCGTTGAAAATGCGTATGTTGTTCACGCTTTATGCTGAGTACAGTGCAGTGAAGTACAATGCAATGCAGTAGATCTGCACACTGATTATTTGAGATGAATGCAGTAAGGCTTGTCTTGGTGTTTTACCGATCGTGGTTTTGACATCCTGATCTGTGCCACCACCGCCTGTAGTTGAAACGATGGTATCCTGCCTACGTAGGTAGTTAGCGGAAAGAGACAACTTTCTTCAGATTTCTCCCGTTGATGTTAATCGGTGCTTGTTGTTGTTACTAGTGGTGGTGGTGGTGGTGGTGGTGGTTGAGTATCTTCATCACCTGTGTCTTCTCTACGTTTACCTGAAGGAAGTCACGTTTTCCTTCGCTACCTCGCCTCACCTCACCTCTTCTGTCAACTTGTTAGTTTTCGCGTGTAGATCTTCGAGTTTGTGCGACAAGACATTAGACATAAATCATTATCATCATCATCGGTGTCGAAATCCAAATCTTCTTCTGGGGTCTTTTTATCGGTCCAACGTATGACATTGCTTTGATAGTCATTCATTTTGCATTTTTTGTAGTGATTGGATTCCTCACTTAGTGTTACCAGTTTGTTACATTTTTCCTCTTCTATTCTTTCTTTTAGCTGATATAGTGTCAACTCTTGAATATTATGCTATTCAACATTCATTGGACACCACTTGGGTTCCAACTATTCTACGTGATTCACACCTATTATGTATTGCTAATATCTCCGAAGCCTATAATGAATTGATACATTCCAAAGATACTATATGGCGTCGTGATGAAGTACAAGATCGTTTATTTCGTGCTTTGATCACGGTTATCGAAGATTTTCTAACAACTATAGCTATCCGACTGCCAATACGTCAACGTATGCTACAGACTGATCGTATTTTAAATCAAATCACTGGACTTTTGGTTGATTTGAATTCAGAGACAGCAACAATTATTGAAGACAGTATTCATAATAATAGTAGCAGCAACAAAACACCGAAACAAATGTGGATTGAATCACTTCGAAGTTTACACGATAAACTGCAACGATTGAGTAGATAATAACTGAATATTTCACATTTAGAAATAATATTCATTATGTATATCACTACGTTGTGTGTATGTCTTCAAGCGAATTGACTTGATGCTACATTTTTATTGATGAAAAAATACCGCGCTACACAATCATCGTCATCATCCTTGTACAGTTTTTCATTGCTACTTCTATGAATTAGAATTATACACTTTCAATCTGCGATTTCCCAAATTTGTTTTTTCTTCTTCAGAAGTCTGCAATTTCATACGATTTGAATGGTGTGAGAAACAGCAGTTTTAGAAGGATTGGATAGGAATATTTCGTAGTTTCTCGTCAACTGCTAACAACGTCAAACTATCGTAGAATCATATGATACAAAATAATTTTCATGTCCTTTGGTCTTTGGTGTTGTGTGGTTGAAATCGCAAAGATTGATGCCCGGAGAACTAGTAATATTGTCTATACGAATAGCTGAGTGGTAACATCTCTAACTATAGCACTGGGTAACGCGGGTTTAAATCTTCAGCGAGATATCAGTTCCGTAGTTACCTTGCTGACGAGTGCCGAAAAGAACTAAACCTAAGTCAGACAGGGCTTTCCACCGATTTCTTGCATTCAAATAACAACCTAGTCACCAAGATAAGAAGACTGCTGATGATGACCGAACTGCAATGCAAATCTATCCAACGACAAGTGATTAGGAGTCTAATAATTTAATTCCATTCATTTCACGACCAACTATTGACACAGTATTCTTCTAGCTCTTATTATTACTGCCAAATGCATAAATTATTCTGTTCGGAGGTTGAAAACAGAAGGCCTAGAACCGACAACAATCTGAAACCAAAGTAAACGGTGATGGAAATTATTCTAGCTGGGTGATCAACTGTTGACTTCATCGATAACATCAGCACTAGGTAACATGATGTTAGTTGTTTTCCGGTGACTAGTCAATGTATAAACCAATCTGTTAGATACGGTTACTGTTTATGGTCGGATTCTAACATTAGGATGGATATATTACAGTCTTAGTTTTACCGGATAGGATTTGGTGCACATTTTTCACTATTGATCATTCATAGTGTCCAAAAACTGAAGGATTACTTGTATTCTGTTTTTTTTTGGCTACTGGTACAATCCAGTTCACCTTTGCTGATTCTGCCTGATGTGTATCATATTTTTGAGGGAGTAATGATGATTAGTTGTTGTTTACTTATGGAAAGCACCTGTAGCGTCATACTAAACAGACCTTGATTATCAAAATACTTATGCAGTGTGTAAAACTTAGCAGTCAAGTATTGGTTACATTGACAAGATACTATGGAAATGAGAAAAGTCACTTGGTATGGTTTGTGATGTTCGCTTTATGTTGTTTTTGTTTCAAAAAGGTGACTTCAAACTTTTTACGTCTATTAAATAGCGAGTGTAGTGGTATATTAAGAGCTATTATGCGAAAAATTACAGAAAGCCTAAATAAAAACCGCAAACTATATGTCAAAGAGTGAATGATTGCAGATCCTTGATGTTGTTTCACATCATTTGAGCCACCAACTTGACAAAGCATATACTTGGTCTCAACAACCAGGGCTACAGATATCTGCCTCTGGATAGTAGGTACATTCTTAAATTACAATTATTCGAATATGTCGAGATGTATACGGACTAGTGCTTATGCTTCAAAAAATAGTTCACTATAATATTGAACCTCGTAAAGCAGTAAGGCATTGCATGCGAAAATATGTGGGGTATAAGTCTCTTGCTAGTAAAATAATGGGTGCTATCATGCTTAAAAAACATGAGAGATTGACTTGCAAGTAGCACATTAAGTTTGTTCAAGTAGCGGATATATTCAACACATCCTAATTCACATCTGTATTGCAAACCAATATCTATCTTATATCTTTAAGTGCTATTTGTCCCCCTATATGGGGCTGCAGTCTAAAAACCACATTTAGGCAAGAAAATTAGTCATAAGCTGCAGAATATACTGAATGTTTTATACGAAAATATTTTAGTTAGAGTGAGGACATACTACTGCCTTTCTCAGCTGTTCAAAGCAAGCAGTAAATCATAGATATCCGATTTCTGCATCTCCAGTGTTGATATTTCTGCGATGGCTTCGAAGGAGTTGCATGGTGGTGTATGTCTGTAGAAAGATACTTTAACCGTGAGTACACGGGTGAGATCGTCTTACTGTGCTAAGTGGTTACCCAGGTCCCAGCCACAAGTGTAGTTTGTGCTTCACACCATTGGTGCACAAAGTACCTTCTCGCGATCAGTAAAAACCTGTCTTTAATAATTCTTGACGGTGAACGACTGTAAGTACCCGAAAAATTCGGGTATAATAGTAGTTGTGCAATTGCTAGCAGAAGTGTGAAAAACGAAATTTCCAACCGTATAATCAATGGTCAGATTGGCATATGCTAATCTGCGTTACATTTGACACCGTAATAAAGTTAGTTTTCCTATAAAAGGCTTTTTTGCAACGTCTCGATGCAATTGATTCGGAAATTTGATCGATCAATGCCAAAAATATCAGAGAGAACCTCGTACACAAGTGCATCGGTTCAAGTTGACACACTTCACAGTAATAAGAATATCCGATGAATCTGTATGATAGATCAACGCTGTCTTGACAAGGTTGCTGGTATCTGATGAAAACACCATGCTTTTTATGAGTTAAGTAATCACCAAAGACTGGCCTTGATAAATTCCTTTACTTCGGATACCGGTTCACATGGGAAGTTCTGAGGTTTGTACGCAGAAAGAAAATTTATTCAACTTTTTCCCCTTTCATGATATTAATTTACAGTTTCTCAATTCACGTTTCTTTTTACCCTGTTCACTTCCTATCTTCATGCTCTTTCTGATCACACTTGAGTTTCCAAATGTTTTTTCATACTATGCAGCTTCATATCAAAACTTAGTAATTTCTATGCAAATCTCATAATATTTTGTTCAATCTTTACCACACAAGAGTTTTGATTATGGATAATATTTACATTTGGATAATGTAATTAGAAGATGTAGATTATCTGAAAAATGTGTGATGTATTTGCGCTATACATTTCGAACAATCTGATTACACCATCTACTTGTTAAGGCAATTTATATATGAAAACTGGAAGTCGGGGAAGGATAAATATGACATAAATGAATTCAATAATGAGAGGGGAATAAAAGATAAGATTTGAAGACAATCTTGGTAATACGATAAAATAAGCATCACCAAGGTAGGCTCAGCGTAAGGACAAACTGTTTTCGCACACACAATGCGGGGGTGAAATTTGTTTATGGCCAGCGCCTCAACAAACTTGAGTATACGTCCCTGACAGTTTCTATACAAAATTGTAAAGGCTGTTTTAATATCAATCCTTTGACTCTTATCAATGATATGTTTTGCAATGGATGCGGATGATGGTTATCTGTCATCTGTACTTATCAATGTTTGTGAATCCAACTGCTTTCGTAGCCACTTTGGAAGATGTTCCCCTACCCTCAAGTGCTTATCACGATTAGTCCTCCCTATGTATGTTTGTCCATATACACATAAATTTATAAACGCAGTGGGATGTAACACCATTATTTATACAGCGTTGAGGTCTATGTTGCACCAGGTGTTTGGTTTTCTCAACTATGATAAGCTTAGGTGCATAGTACGTACGGAAGACCTTAACCTTCATTTTAATATAATGCTGTTAGATTCTCCTCTGTATGGTAACGTGATGTAAACGCATTTCTTCGAAACAGATTAGGTTTGAATCCTTGCTGATTTTTGCAGCGGTTTATGAACTTCAATGGATATCCATTTCCCACTAATGTTCCAGTTAGTATTTTGGTATCATTATCCGTACAAATACGCTGGATCCTTTTAAATAGGTAAGTTACCAAACCTCGCTTGTATTGGGTTGGACAAAAGCTATTTGTATCTCAAGAGGATGATATTGGTGTTGTGTTCTCAGAGCTGAGTGGCTCTATCATGATTAAACGATCAAACCAGCCGGTTTGATTATTTTGTGATGAAAATGACCACATTTCCGGAAATCGGTTGAAAGATATTCCTGTTCTTTCATTTAAGAAGAGATTGTTGAAGTACATTCTTCTTGTATACAATAGGGCTTTTTATGTTGCAGTTGAGTGTTTGGTTTATGTAAGTTGACTTTCTGTGTTCTCTTGTTTCTAAAATTCTTGTACTTGTTCTGCTAGTCAAGACTTTAAAATTGAATCATTACTTTACTCTTCCCTCGCGAACCTTACATTCTAGCTCATTCCCCTTAACATTGACGTATGGTTAGTAGTCAGACTTTTAGTTGTAATATTAGTAGAAATATAACTTCCACTCTTTATAACAAAATGCGCAAATGATACTCTAATATAAACTATCCCAAAGACAGTTGGGTTGTGGCTTATCGATTTCAGGAGCTGACTTTCAACCAATGGGTCATAAATTAGAGTTGGGCTAGATCTAACGAAGTTTGGAGGGCCAGTTGGTGTCATAAGTAGCCCTCACATTATGGATGTGGTTTATCGCTTACTGTACGAATATATACAAGATTGCTGAATGCATTCCAACGCATTGATTTTGCTTTTGTTTGTTCATACATCTGATCGTTGAACCGGAAACATATTATGATACAAATAGCTATGTTGTCACAAACTTGAGCATTGCATCTCTATTTCCATAAATGGTCATCATTTTGCCCCAATTCAGATGTAGTCTGATTGACGTGTACAATGTCGTGTTATCAAAAGATAAGATCACTTCACCACATTCTAGCTAATTTTCCTTGATTTTTTAAAACACGGAATTTTGAGATTTGAAATGGGCATCTGTTGTGATGCCCCAGTTTTGTATAAAACATTGTCATTGATCTGAACATTTTAACGTGTCATTCCCACACCATTTTTACGGTTTGACTAATAGTCTATTCTCTGCCTCAATTGTAATGTAATTCGCTGATTGGTTAATCTTTACTCTTACTATGCGAATTCCTCCAATTGCGAACAAGGTCATTTCTCACGTGTATACTTATTCACGTGTTTTGGATTAATTCATTGTTATTATATTTTCGGAGTAATACACTCTCCCATCTGCCAGCTTCTGTCTTCTCTCTATTCGTCCTGGGGTTGCAGTCAGTGTCTCTTGCGTACCAAGTTAGCTGTCAGCTAAGCGCGCGTATTATATTCTTTTCGGAATATATACCATTAGCGCTTCGAAACCGTAACAGC